CACCAATGTGTGCAACTGCTGTTTTTATGATGATAAGTGTCCACAGAAAAGCCTTTAGCACACTATTCAGAGCCAAAACGGGGACAGATGTGGAGCCAAAAGTAAAAATATCCACTGCATGGTTTGAAAAAAAAAAGGGTAAACTTGTAAATTCTGTGGAATTATGTATGTACTACTTATTGTAGACAATTTGGCAGGCTGATTAAGTAATCCAAGTTACAGCCCTAAAACTGGAGGGTCATAGATTAACCACAGTTATGGTCAATGTGTCTATCAACAGCCGTACGTCCTGTCAAAGTGTCCTTGTTGAAGACACATTTTATGCAATTAGCACTTTGACATTCCAGCTCCTTTGAACTATAAAAAGTCTGAGCCATCCGGTCGTCTTCAATGTATGATGTTAAGACAGTTCAGACAGTACTTCTGCTGCTTCTCTGTAACGTCTGATGGCTCGCCTTCCCCCGACCCATCAGCTTGTCTCAATGACTTTCAATTACTGATCATTTAGGAAATGGGAGGGTCAGTTGGCCTTTAAGCAGTGATTATTTTCAGATGCTATTAAAATTATGGAAGGACCAGTGACAAGCAGGGAAACTCTTTTGATGAATGGGAACATAAAATTGAGATCAATCAGTCGAAAAACAGAATTAAATGTGCGTGTGGAGCCTGCTTCAACATAACCTGTTAGCTCGATCCTTCATTGTATTTGGGAGGATGGCGTGCCGAAGTCCATAAAGAATCAGTGAGGATGAATGGTGCTTTGGCTCGAACCGCATGACTCATGATGTTTTCTGAATGACGAGGGGGATAGAATCTACCAGGCAGCACTCATTTGAGGAAAATGTCGGCTGGGAAATCAGATTTTGGCTCCCAACGATCAATATACAAGATAATCGAGATTAAACGATAACTGTGCGCATACAGTGTTGCGCTTGATTTGTCCATCTTTTTTTTTTTTTCATGTGTGGGAGCCTAAATGTTTCAAAGTGTTTCTTGTTGTATTGTGGTCACATTAGTCACCACTAGCTCAAAAGTACAGTTAAATTAGTTGGATTTATGATTAATCATACATTCATTTTTAATTAATTTATATTGTGCACATGTGATGCAGATGTTATTAAATGCAAAGTATGTAAATCCCGCCACCAGTCGCTCAATCAAAACAATAACAAAAGATGACATCGACTCTGCCAGGGAATCATGGGAGTGATTCTCTGCTACAAAATAAATGAGTAATTGTGTTTGATAATCATAATATCAATCAAAATAATATTGATCATACTTTTTGCCATAATCAAGCAGCACTAATCTCAGGAACTGGTGGTGTGGTCCTCCTAACTAAATTCAATATGTAGGCGATAGAAAGAATTACAAGTTATTTATTTCATTGAAGATGTTACCATTGAGAAAAACAAAAATGACTGAATTGAAATCAGATTATTCAGAAAGAAAAAGATCGATTTATCTTGTTTTCATATTCTCTCTTTTTTTATGCGCATACTTCCTGAGGAGGCAGCTATTATTTTATGAAACTGTAAGCACAATGAAATGTGATGGCAACTCACTGCACTTCGCTGCTACACCACACATCTACATGCACACAAACCTTCAAGCCACACACACCCTTGTTGTCTTTGGCTGCCAAAAATCTGCTATGGCAGCAGAAAACTGACGGGGCATCAGCTTGTCACGTCCTCCTCTGTCTTTTCTGGAATTCTGCTTTCTCTATGTTGTTCACGATGTCTCTCTCAAAGGAAAATACACAAACAATGGTCCATTGGCTACAAAAGGTGTGCGTTTGTGTGTCCATTTCTTTCAGAATCCAAAACTTCTGTTTCTTGCTTCTTTTTTTTTTAAATGAGTGTGTTTAAGTATGACCATATTTGTGTGTTTTAAGGTGTTCGTGTGTGTGTGTGTGTGTGTGTGTGTGTGTGTGTGTGTTATACCCAGGGAGCCATACCTCAAGGCAGTATGTTTTCACCAATAGCTTGCTAAATTAATCAGTACCCCTCAGGCCTCTTGACCAGACCCCAGACACACACAAACTCTCACTCACCAGTCATACGTTAGGTAATATTGCAGCTACATCACTCATTGAGTCAAACAGGCCTGACAGCACCCTGTGGAGAAATACTGAGACCACGTGAGAGATACAGAACCTACATGCTAAGACACAATAAGATAAACAAAAGTACACTGAAACAAACCCAATCAATTCTTGGTTGATTTTGCTATGCTAAATATGCCAGTAAGTGTGGACATTTGTTTCTGTGTGTGTGTGTGTGTGTGTGTGTGTGTGTGTGTGTGTGTGTGTGTGTGTGTGTGTGTGGGCGCGTGCATGCAATGCATTTGTGTGCAAAACAGAAACACATGTCACAAGGTTAGCTATGAACACATTACCACTGCTGCTAGCACACAATGAGGAGGAAATTACTGTGGAATCCTTGTGTGTGTGTGTGTGTGTGTGTGTGTGTGTGTGTGTGTGTGTGTGTGTGTGTGTGCGCACGGGTATTGCAGCAGTGTAAATCTAATTCCCATTTCCATAATGGCACCACATGGAATACTCGTGTTTCCTCTCACTTTCTTGCTCTCCCTCTCGCTCACACAAACACACACACATATGAACAGATATAAGTGCCTACTCCTTCCAAAGAGTCTAAACCTATTCAAACATCCTCACTCTCATAAAGTACGTTGTTCAATATCACATATGCACACAAAACACCTACAGTCTACTAATTTTTTTTATTTTTTATTTTTTTATTTATCCTTTATTTTAGCAGGGAGGATCCACTGAGACCGAGGTCTCTTTTCCAGGGGTGCCCTGCAGCAATACAAAAATAGAAACAGCACAAACAGTAACACACACACACACAAACACACTAGGGAGGGGCATATGCAGTTATCTAAATACTAAACTACTTACACAGGGTCGAAAACTTGAGTAATAACATCAACAAAGAGAAATCTAGTACCGAAGTACTTGTACCCATCCCTAGTACACACACACTGTACTTGTGTAATGCCTTTATTTTGAAACATAGCAAACACCCACTACAAGCAAGAGCAGAGGTAAAACAGTGCAATAATTCACAGATAACAACCAGAGGGAGCTGCTAACCAACCAGGACATGATCTCTCACTTTACACCAGCACATAAAGAACCTAAAACTAAACCGAGGTTTCAAGACTCAAGTACCTGTTAATAAATAATAAACAAATAATTAGGTTAAAACTAAGCCATGGATCAAATCAGAGATTTGTCATTCATATCACTGTGCAACTGTAATAAACTTTATTAACAGCATTTTCAATAAAATTTGCGAAACAAACGTGCATAGTTATGGTAACTGTGAGAAAATGTTGTTAGTATTAAATGTCCTTCATACATCACTTTAAGTTCCTACCCAAGTTCAGAAGACTCTCTGCACAATGTTCCCCTCTGTTCTTATAGCAACCATTTTCCACAATACATTCAGTGTGACACTGTTGTTTATGATGACTATGTGGTTTAAAACTATAACACCAACTCTTCACTTAGGCATAATGGGTTTAGTCCATTAGTGGCACACTAGGCATAGAGATCCATGTGCATAGAGATGGTTTTACCACAGTTTCCCTTACCAGCCTGAAACAATCCTGAAGTTAGACCATAAAGGCAAAGAGGTTTGCCCATTCACAAGGCACAATAAAATAACAGCTTGAAAGGACAGCTTGGCTATATTTCTTCTTCAGAGTATTTTAAAGGGCCCATATTATGCTTTTCTGGTTTTATATGCGCTTTAGTGTGTTTTCCAAGTGTCCTGTGCATGTTTAGGCACATCTATGTGCAAAAATTCAAAGTCTGCGGAAACGCGGCTTCTCCTACGTCCTCCTGTTAGCTGCAGCATTAGCTGCATGTAACGCTCGGTTCTAGCCCCCCTCGAAAAAAATTGTCAGTCCGACGTCATTGTCAGTGTGAGATCACTGATCTAAGCCCATTGGCTCGTTGTGGCAAGCCCAGCAGCTCATGTTGCACGCCCACGATATGCCGTAGCCTGCGGTAGCACAGTAGTGCTAAGGTGCTAATGTTTATGCTCCCCTCGGACGGAGCCAATGACTGCATTCCCAATATGGTAAAAGGGGCGGGACATTTCCGAGAACAGTGCTGAGCGACTGACCAATTACGGCAGAGCCAACAGGCCGACCAATCAGATCGGACTTGGCACACGTGGGGACTCTGAACGTGGGCACTTCAGAGCCTTAGAGAGAGAGTCAGAAGCGAGCCGGTGCATGGAGCGGCAGAACATGAAAACACACACTTTTACTTTAGCTATTGTGAACATACTTTAGTAGGTACATAGATTGGATATATGGGTACATAGGAATGGATATATAGGTCAAAGAATAGCAAAAGAATCACATACACAAATAGTAACTATTCGTATGTTTGGGAGGACTTGTGTCATGATTTGGTATTATTTAGTTTTGTATTTCAGTGTTCAGTGTTTCTTTATGTTCTAGTGTGTTTTGTTTCATTCTTGAGTTCTGTGTGTCTTTAGTGTTTCATGATTTAGTTTTATAGTTGTCCTCAGTGTTTGTTGTTTTGTATTCCTGCCTCTATGTGTTTCCCTCCGTGTTGATTACCCTCATTGTCTTCACCTGTGTTATTAGTCTCACCTGTCTTTGGTTACCCCCATGTCTATTTAGTCTCTGTGGTTCTTCCTTCCTGTGTCAGTTCATTGTTTGTCAGTTGTAGTATGTCAGTTTACTCATGGCTCCTTGTTTTCTCCTTATTGGCTTTCTGAAGTGAATTTTTGTTTAATTCAATATTTTTGTTAATTCTGCATCTGGGTCCTCCTCCTAGTTTTCTCGATCCGTGACAACTTGTATGTATGTGTAATCATCAGTTTCTTTAATATGAATCCCAAGGAATAGCTGGCTTAGATGTGAAAGAGCTTTTAACAAGCAAGATAACACTGAGAAATAACTTTGACTGAACACGATTTTCAAGGTTCATGAGCATTTATTGTTGATCTTTTCTAATGTCCCTGACAGTTTGCGTTCCTGACGTCAGGAGCTCCTATTTGGGGAAAAAGAAGGAGATGGGGGGGAAAAAAAAAAAAAGATACAGGAGACAGTTGTTGATTTTTCCAGAATGCAGACAGTAAGATGTGAGTTTATCATAGCATTGCATTCTGCCTCCATCTGCAGTTCAAACAGATAATATCAGTGGGAAAATTTAAGAAAAATGAATGACCAGGATGTTTTGCTTTTCGATTTCAGAGAGAAACATTAACCAATAATAACCATAATTACTTTCTTTATAAACATCTCCAAGGCAGTGACGATTTGATGTTTCTGTATGGAGTGTGCCTTCCTTCCAGGGTATGCATCCTGGTGTGTACACGTGCACCCCTGTGTGCGCGAGTGGAACTATTTTTTTTCCGTGCATAAACCTTGGCAGGTGTCCAGCGCCACTTGGACGGAGCTCAGTGAGCGACTTGTCTTGTCTTAGCAGTTAAATCCCCTCTGAGGCGGCGAGTGAAACACGCTCAGAGTTTTATGTATTGTAGCGAAGCAGCTTTTTTATGGAGTTAAGCAGTGGTAAGCACCCCCCAAAGGCTTTTCAATCGCCTCGCCAACAGGTATTATGATACACAGACTTAGGTTCACTGACAGACTCTCCAAAGAAAAGCTGCCAAAAGTCTGAAGAAGATGGGCAATTACCATTATACTGGATTACATATATATCAGAAAGAAATAAGATAAAGGAACTATTTGTCTATCTACAACTGTGTCTCTAACTCAAGTATTAACACACAGTTCAAACTGTAAATGATGTTTGCGTCACTTTCATCAGTTAAATTTTCACATGGACTTAATATAAACAAATGACTTTTTATTCCTTCTATTTCTGGATGGAAGATGATGAACCTTTTTTTTAAAGATTTATTCTCAGGATACAAATGAAGGTATTGTGTTTTTACATGAAATTATAATATTAATAATTATATACATTTCTTCTCTCAACAGTTTTAATCAAGCCCAAGCACTACTCGATGGTACTCAACTACAATAAGTAAATTAGAGATTTATTTTATTCTGCCCTGCAGCACTCAGTTACGTTGTACCTACACCCTCCCCCTCAGAAAAAGTTAGCAAAAAGGTATGCAACCAAAATAGCTTACTGGCTCTATTTTGTTATTTATGAGAAGCTGATGACGTGGCAATCTGCATTTTGGTCTTCAAAGCATTGCAGCAAAAGCTTCCAAAGAGCGTGTTCAAAACAGAGGACACAAATAGCAGATTCAAAGAGGGGGAGTTGTGACTGTGGAAATCTATGACGTAGTATTGTGGAGACACAAATGAATGGGCTTCAGACAACAATGGGTTATGCGGTCGCATGTTGACATCATTTGATTGTTTAATGAAACATCCCCAGCATTTTTTCAGTTCTAATCACATCTGGGAATAAAACAGGGAATTACTTGAGTCTGTTGACCTGGGACACTTAAGAGTGTTTAACATATTTTTGTTTAGTTAATACAATACTTTACCATTATGAGGTTTAGTGTAGTCTCTACAAGTACATGTTTTAAGAGTGATTATGAAGTTAAAGAGTACATATTTAACAAATAAATACCCAACAGATATGGCCATCTGTTAAAGCTTCAGTGTGTGTTGAAGAGAGAGAGCAGGTGTTTGGAAGGGTTACGTCACTGTGAATGATGCCCTTTGAAGGTTAAGACAGACTAAAGGAGAGGCTGGAGCACACAAGGAAATTGAAATGATCAACAGGGGGGTGTCAGTTCCTTGGTGGTTTCAAAAGTGAGCTTGTGATCAAAATGTCAGTGGTGCAAAGTTTTAAAGCAGCGATCAGCAAGTGACAGAAAAGGACATAATGTCACACAATATGAGAGGAAAGAACAGTCAAAGTAAGACAGGTAGATAAAGGACATTAAAGTGGGACAAAAAAAAAATCCTCAATTGTAGGTGCCCATGCTGCAGTAACGTCAATTGGTACTGATGAAAAACACAGATATAAGGAGAAACACAGCCAGAGAAATCTGCAAGGATCGTTGTGGGACACTCTCTTTACTTGTGTGTGTTAGCACAAAATAAACAGGTTTTGCAGCACACTTTTGGCAGATGACTGTTCTGCATGAGTCTGGTTCTACACTGAGTTTCTGCCTGACGTTTTTCATTGCCACTGTAACTTCGACACATTTCGTTTGGTGTGCGTGATGGATTAATGTTGGGTCTTTGTAAATAATTAACAAAGAGTTGGGTCTTTGACCTGCACTGTTGTGAAGTGTCTTAGAAAAGATTTGTTATGAATTGGCACAATACAAATACAGATTGATTGATTAAAACATGTGTATGGGGGTGAAAGCACACGTGCGTCAAAATTTTGAAGTTTCACTCGTTTACACTGTGACAACCCTAAAAGTGGATAAAATGTGTATTTTAATAAAATGCTCTTGTTTCACTTACAATGAAGAAACAAATGGAAACATTCTGTATCCTTCATGTTAAGTTGTTTTCTCTTTGTGACGTTACTGTCGCCGTCATTACCACCTTCTCCTCTTCTCTTCAGACAGCACAGCATGAACTAATGAAGCAAATCCAAATTAATTAGATAAGGTCATAAGAAATAGCTAAAAGCCATTTTGACATTTTTTTTATTTGACTTGCATCGGTGCAGTGAGTTCCCCTTCGTCAATTGTTGACACCAGGGACGCTTGCATGTACTTTGTATCACTTGTTTTGATATTAAGCTAATTTAATTCATATTAGAAAACAAATTAAACAATCAGAAGCAGGTGTTAGTTATGTCTGCTAATGTTCCCCTACAGACTGTGGTTTTTGTTGCATCAAAACATTACATAATCAATCATGCAAATTCATCACCAGCCCAACGCTATGAGGCACATTAAAGTGACTTCACAGAAATGACTGGAAGACATTTTGGAGAGGCCAAGGCAAAGCGCAAACCAAATAGAGAGGACACGTTTTTTTGGGGTTTTTTTCTGTCTGTGTTCCTCTCTCGGTGTGCCCTGACAGACGAGAGGAAACACATCAAAGCTTTCCCAAATGTCATCCTAATTATCACAGACGTCGTGCTGAAATATCAAAAAATATACCAAAATACCAAAGCCTCAAGGTTTCTCTCATCACGTAACCCTTCAAATTTAGCTCCAGCACTCAGAGCCATATCAGAAGTGGAGCCATATCGGGAGTCAACAGAAAGTCAGGCTGAGCATGTGATTCACTGTGAGTCACTTCTGACAGACAACGGGATGACCAAAAGTTTACATTTCTTCCTTCAAAGAATAACTACTTGTGCGAGTACATCTAGTGGTAATGCTGTATACCCTACTTCAATACTGGCATGCTTGCCAAGTCCTTCTGTTTGAGAATGTTAGATACCATGACAGGTGTTCTGTTGCTGTCCTGCTCCTGCATAAGTATCAGACTTTACGTCTTGATGTGATAAAACACACATGCAGATTTAACACCAAATTCAAAACATACATTTCAACCTGCCATAACCCTCTTACTGACTTACACATTTAAAGTCACTGTGGATAATACAAATAGGTGCTTTTCACTAAATCTGCCTCATTTCATTTCTACTCAGGAGCTTGTGTACAACTGTGATTGAAAACTCTCTGAATGTTTGTTGTGCTTAATTTGTGTAACACAGCCTTTCGGTGCATGGGCTTTCACTCAAACGGAGGCTTTTATAGACATTAACGTCAATATCTATACATCCAAATTTGGGATTAGCTTAAGCTTGCATTCATGTTATGCAAAACAACAACTGCAAGGGAGGATTGTGTCTCATGAGCTGTTTGGGGGGGAAAAAACGATTTTTGTGAAACGCAACAGGGAGGGAGAAGTTTCCATCTTAACCGTGGGAGTTAGAGTCGGATGACAAAGATTGACTTTATTTTCCAGGGTGATCTATTCCTGCATGCATATTGATATTGCTCTAGAACATATAGCAATATATTGACTCTATAAAACTAAACTGAATGTGCATTATTTGCTGTGAATCCGGCTGCACTGCACTCACAGTATCTGACCTCTGAAACTGTGCAGGCAGAAAGACAAACTGTTTGGTCTTCAAAAGGCCAACCTACACCTTAACTGCCTGAAAACACATGCATGCCCTTCTCTGTGCACACAAAGCTGCAAACTCACATGCAGACACACATAGATTCTAGCTACTTTAAATATTAGAGGGGAAGAAAGTAATAAAAGAGAGGAATAGCCGAGTCACAGACATGCTCCATTATCTCATGGTGAGCATGTCGGCCACCCTCCAATGTCCATTACACAGACGGATGTGTGTGCGTGTTCTTTTCTTTTTTTGGGGGGGAAGCCGAGAAAAGAGCTTATGATGCTAATCAATAATCTGAAGTCTGAGCCACAAGCGTCCTCAACTTTCTCCACCTCTCGTCACTCTTTCCTGCCTCCCACGCTACATTATTACAGTTACAGACACAAAAAGGCAACAATTTGGGGAGGTTGAAAGGGGAGGGTAGGGGACACAGGGGTTGAGAAGGGTATGAGAGTAAATGAAGGGAGGTGCGATGAGGACAGAGAGGAGTTTTAAGTCTGGGGAGAAAAAGAGGAAGCGAGGGACGCAAAAGAGAGAGATAGTGACAGAAGGAGGGAATGAGCTGATGAAATAGAAAGACAGAGAAGAAAAGGAGCCCTAGAGAGAAAAAGAGAGATGAAGGGATGTCGAGTGAGGAGGTTAAGTAAGATCCAGGGATGGCGAGAGATAAGATAAGGGCGTAATGGAAGGAGGTAAGAGACTGGACTCTCCTCTCCTCTGTCAGAGCCGTCATTTCATAATACACTCGATCTCTCTTTTCTTTTCAATCCCTTACTGCCTTTGCAACTTCTCACTTTCCATTATTTTGTCCGAATGATATGCAATCCCATGTCATCTTTTATCCTCCTCCTGTGTTCTGTTACATAGCCTCTCTTCATTTATCTGTCCTTCTTGTGTCCACCCTAGCTCCTTTCCCCTCTCCCTCTTCTCTCACTCATCCACGATGCATAATTCAAGCAGAGATTCCAGCATGACGGGCGTGGCCATTAAAAATACATGGGGACACTGCACCGAGGCCGTTTAGTGCTGCCTTACCTCAGAGGAGGAGCGCCCCCGGCTAGGGCAGCGAGGGCAGTAAGAGGAAAGAAAGCGAAGGAGAGAGCAGGAGGGTGGTGAGGTTGGGTGCTAGCGCAAAAGCGATGCATAAGAAAAAAAAAGAAGAGTAATAAACCATTGAGGATGTAGTCACTTCCAAAATATCCTCTTCTTCCAGTCACTTCAATTGAAGCCTACAGGACAATCAAATTAAATCATGATGTTCTTGTCTCAATCTGATCTACATCCAGCTCCAATAAACTTCCAGGTCCTTGCTGACCTTTGCAGCAACATTTCCCTTACCAAATTTCACTGTGCACAGTCCTGCATCTCAGCTCCCTCAAAACCCATGGGTTTTAAAAACAACAACACGTGTCGAAACACAACAGACCGCTGGCTCTGTACAACAGTGTACTTGTCATACAGAGGTCATGGCATCCTTCTTTCCTCATCATCTCCTCTGGCAAGATCCAAAACTTCAAATTCCAGCGCCCCAAAGTTTTTGTTTTAATCACAGCTATAGCCAAACTGAGACGCAAGCGTTCCTGCGAAAACAACACACGTGTTTTGCTGTGCTTTTATAATTTGTTTTGTTTGTTTTCCAGTTTAGTGAAATCATTCAGGTTAAGTTATGTGGAGATGTCAAATTCTTCATTAAGAATAACCCCTTGAGATGTGTCATCTCATGTTCAAGGGGATCCTTGTTAACTCCTCTAAAAAGGACTGTAACATCACAATTGGCAAATGATGTCTGTCAAAAAAAAAGCATTGGTGGGGGGTCGATTTGAGTTCCACATACAGATAAAGTACAATCAGGGAATTTAAATTTGAGTAATAAAAAGTCCAAATGTCTTATCAGTTTCTAAAACACTGCTCATGGAACTATTAGGCATGAACTTGCAACTTGCATGAGTATTAAGGGGTAAAAGAAATAAATATCCTCCTTGACCTCTAGTTTAGGGGGTAATTGGCAAAACCCTGCAAAGTAATGCACTCTCCCTCTGTTCCACCTTTTCTTTCATACACACAGACCAAAAAACACATGAAAATACTCTAAAGTCGTGGGCAAATCGATCTAACTTGAAAATAGCGTCCCAATAGGAAGAAACAAAAGAAACATGCCATAAATAAACACTTCCTGTAAATCAATCAATCAATAACATTGATCACCGCCGTGCCACTTTAAAAATAAAGATGGAAGAGTTGAAATACTGGATGAAAGTGTGAGAGAGAGTAAGGGTGTCATATCCAGCAAATGTCATGTTCTATATCTTCGAAAGAGGACATCTATTTTAAACACTCACACACTAACACATGTGTCCACGCATGCTGTCAATCCCCCTCCTGAAACGTTGCTTTTTGCAGGAGAACCCTGCTAATGTTCTTTCCATGTCTTCTCGCCTTTCTTTCATAAATAATACCGAGCTGCTATTAACACGGTCAAAAAGAACTGCAGGAGATGGCGAGCAGGCGCAAGCAGCAGCAGCAGAAGAAGAGAGGCGGCAGAGTAGGCTGAGGCACACCAAGAGCAGGGAAGCAGGGATGTGGAAACGCTAAACACTTAACCTCTTTTTTCCTACTTCCTCCCACCTGTTTTCTCTGATCTAATGTAACATCGCTGCAAGATGTAAAAACACCTTCCGAAACCCGTCTTTATCCCCTGAGTCTTCCCCTGCTCTTTTACTGAACTCTCTTCCTCCGGCGATTACCATTTAACTGCCTTCCCGCTCCTTATCTATCACCTTTACTGCCCTGCTGCTTTCTGTCCTATCACTTTGTACGGGCCTCACTCTCCTCTCATAAGGAATGGAAAAGAGGCAGAAATAAACAACATGGATGGGAGAACATGGGAAAATGACTAACAACAGAGTAAATATGGATTAGGAGGTGAATCTGATAAGAGAAAAAGCATTTTCCCCTCTAATTTATAGCCACAACTTTCATTGCGAAACATCATGAACGTCCTCAGAAAATATTCATAGCTCAAAATCAAACACCTGATATCATCCATTGAGTTTTAGATCTTCACCAGTGGCTACTAATAAAAAAAAAGTGTATTATTTCACCCCTTGAAGAAACCCCATCAAGTATTCCCTCTCCGTATTTGTCCTACTTTTCTCAAAATTGAAAGAAAAAAGTCTTAATTGTTAAACTTTCTGAATCTTTTAGATATAAGGGTGTCATACTGATTCCAGTGCTTCATCGTTTGTAATGCCTCTTAGAAGTTAAGACTGACAGAAACTTATTTTTTTTCTCTAAAAGATTAAAAATGGATTCAAATGCTGTAGTTTTTTTTATTTCAAATCCCCGTCTACGGCTGAGTAATAGGTTATGAGAAATCATCTATGAACCTTGTGTTAATACATTTTTAAAGAATTCATACTTTATTTTAGTTTCACTCTGGGAATTGTAATGAAATCTTAACATATTTTCCTTTTTGATGTCGCTAAGTCTACTTTACAGGCGAGACGCTGTCTGAACATTAATGAACATTGTCTCCACCCATGCAGCTCCACAGGACGGTGCTGAACTTATCACCCAAGCGTTGGTTCTGTCACTTACCGCAGCATCCACAAGTCTTCAAACTAATGAGATCATTTAGCAGGCACACGGATCAATTTCAGAGACACCAGCGAGAAACAATCAGATCATTTGTGATAACAGAAGCCGATCAGGAAGCAGCTGTTCAGCACAGATTCATTTCTTGTTACTACAAGACAACAAATGCTGCAACAACAAACAACAACATTTGGTCTTTTTTCGACAGAGAGACATCTAGCAAACACAGCCAGCAAGTCAATACCCACGGACTGAAGCTAACACACTCAGCTGAAGCTCTGTTTCCGATTACAAATACCATCCATAGTCATTTTCATGCTGCCACCAAATTTCACACCTGTATAGCTGCATAATAGAGTGTGTGTATATGCAGAGGTCTATATGATGACCCAAATAGCTTTACAAGACTAAACATGCAGCGCTCGCACTGCAAAAAATGTGACAAACTCACCATGACTTCCTCTCAACTTCTCATTTTGAGATGCAGACCTGTCTCACGTACTCAAATCTCAAAAAGCAAACTAGCACGACAAAAAAACACATGTAAACAGATCCTTGGACACATGCTCGATTTGCACATTTATCATCCCCACCCCCTGAAACTAAAACCACAGAGGGCAGACAGAGCTCAGGTGTTTTAGTTGAGAAGCAGTAACAGAATTTTTTGAAGAGAAATAAGGTGTAAAGGTAGAAAAAAAAAAAAAAGTTTTGCCTTTGTGATTTTTCAGTGCTGCTCCAATGTGGTGAACTACATCTACTGTATTCACAACACAGACTAACTGATTTTAGGATTTCATTACACAGAATTTGTGTTCACATTATACAAAAAGGTGGCTCAACTAGAATTGTATATTGTGCATATTTTTCAAATATCCATGTAGCCTAACAAAAATTGTCTTGAAATTTGACTCACGTTTTTTGAAGTCAACGTCCTTTCTCATTAGCATGAGGAGTTGAAGCTGTTAATCCAAAGTCCAGCATTGCCCCATGGTACTAGGCTACTTGTGTCTGTTCTAGTTCAATAGTTTAGTTGAACCTCTATCCAACTAGTTTTAGCGAATAAAATGCATTCAAGTTACTGCCGCTATCTAAATGTTGCTCAGTCACTTCACATTTAACTTCAAAATGTATCTTTTCTAAAGACATATTCCTTAATATTCATGCGATAGTTATCCTACAGTCTACGCACGCAGCTCGTCAAATACTCAACGTTACAGATCACTTACACAGCAGCAATTTAATTTGACGCCTGAGGGAAGGAGCACAGGTGTCACCAATTAACGTTGATGAGGGCTGCGTTCCATTTAGTGTTCATTAGCAGTGAGCACGTCAGCACAACACGGGACAGTGAAGCTAACAGACCTAAATGGAATGCAGCGTCTTGTGTGAGTGTGCTTTCTTGCAGTGTAAATGGACTTTTCTTGGATTTCTTTTACCTGCTTTCCCCCAGGTAGACTGGAAACATTTTGAAGACCATGAATTCAGGAAGGCCTTTTTCTCCCTGATGTCACGCATGTATGGGAAGCTCAAACGCTGTTATTATTTTAGGCCTTGTTCCCTAGAAACCAGTTCCTCAATCTCATTTTCTCTCTGTGTCCAGTTCATTTGTCTCAAGTGAGAGACCCTACTGTTGCATCATCCCAATGCACACTGGGAAATCATGTATGTATCTCAGTATTATTTTTTTTAATAACAGCGTTTGAGCTTCCCACACATGCATGACATCAGGGAGAAAAGGCCTTCCTGTATTCATGATCTCACACAAAACGCTGCATTCCATTTAGGTCTGTTGGCCATAAAGATATATTCTATGTATGCTGAAAACGTTTCATCAGGGAACCAAACTGGAATTCATGTTGGAATGACAAGCTGAGTTTTAGTTTAAGTCTTTGATCCATGCTACCCTTTTGTAGAACTAGGAACACTGTTTGCATGATGATTAGACAGAATATTGTGCTGATACACATGAAACACGCAGAATAAATGCCAAAAAATATCAAACCAATATTTTTCTAAATTTTCTTGTGTCGTTTTTTCAGTCCAGCCAATATCTCTCACTCACAGCGGACATGTTTTCTTGTGAAACAGAGGTATGACTAATAGCACAATTCACGTTTGTGTTCTATGTAAGCGTGCCAAGGTCCTGATACTGTGCACACTGGCTCACTGCCACAGCTTCACACTTAATTTGCTGTTGGCTGAGTATTTAGTGCTTGCAATACATAAAACCTCAAATCCCAACAGTGTTTTACAGTGTGTTGTTTGCAAGTTATACACATGTCCACATGGGTTTTCGTTGACCAAAAAAAATGCATGTACATGCAGGGAATTTGGAGCGTCTCTGTCTGGAGATGATTCTGTGGCACTTACTTTAAAAATGACAGACATATACATGAACACCTCTTTAATTTTTAATATCGCAATTCAATTTCAGCAATAATTAATGTGTGTCTAAGTGCATACATTTCACAGATGGACAAACGTATTGATATAACATTTATTTTTAATACCAGAGGAACACATGAACAGGCAGATTCCATTACTTTGGGAGACATCTACAGTACATTTTAAATAGTTTCAGTTTTGAGTAAGATGCAAAATGAGTTAAGTTCACTTTGAATTTCCTCTGAGGTATGCTGCCGCGACAGCCTGGTTTCCCCACAGGAGTTAACAAAGTTTCATCATATTACATGTTATGTCATCCCCTCTCTCTACTCTGGGCCGTAAAGTATAACCCCTGCAGCCCTTACAAGGCGGGGGGGCCCAGCTGGTCAAAGGGCCCCGTCCATGCCTGTGAGAGTTTTTGTTACATGTAGGCTTTATATGTATACACAATATGGGGTTCACATCAGGACGCTGTCTGTCTTTTCAGCATAAAAATGAAATAAATATTGTCTTAAATCGTTGCTGGTCGACACCTTTCCTAAAATAAGGAAAATATATTTTGAACGTTACACGTCCTGTAAGCAGTGAAGGGCCGAGTCTGGGCTGGTACATTTGTCTCATAGCTGACAGCGTTTACAGTAATGACCGGATAAAGAGTTTAATGAAATCCTGCACCGTGCAACAATATGTCATGAGAAGAAGTCAAATACCTGGAGTACCACGTACAGCTCCCGCATCATGACAGTCACAGGATCAGCACCTTGAAAGCGACTGTGACTGCACAGTTTGTCATGTTAAAAAACTCAAGACCGTTTAAAATGTTCTCACGACAATTAACTCCATAAAATCGATTAACTCCATAATAGACTTGTGTGTTCATTTTTCCTTTAGAGGCCTGTGAAATCATAACAAAAGGTTTTAATTTCTGTGTGTCATGCTCCCTCTCTTCAGCCAGTTTGGCCGGGGGGAGGGGAGGAGTCGACTTTTCATTCATGGGGCCCACTCAAGTTTGGCTCACATGTTTGAGGTACAAGGTTGTCTCTATTTCGTAGAACCCAATGAAAGAAATGGTTAGGGTTTGTTCGGGGACATAAGTCCCTCCACAACCAGACAAAAGTGGAAAACTTTGTTAGAGCATTCAATATCATCAGTTACACCTGTGTGCAACACGTAAATGTCCTCTGTGAGAATGTTTCTGTATATTACGATATGATATAAATGTTACACGGCCGTCATCAATTGTATTAGATACAACAGTTCTTTTCCTGCTATTACAAATCAACGCCTGCCTGTGGGTAATGGCTTCACTTGCCCCTTATCAGATTTTCTATTCAGCCACAGACCTGATGAAAGGAAGCGGACAGATAGAATCTTACTCCACTATAATGCTCTATACACCCGGTCCTCTCCACACATGCAGATAATACTCAGAAACTCTATCTCGTTTTCCATCTCCCTCACAAACACATTCAATTACTGCCTTTCAGGAAACCCCACATAAACACACCTTCATGGTCAAGTGGACACAAATAAATCCACACATTAACACATCAGCACTTTCATTCAACACGTTTCGATTGACCTCTGCTTTCTCATCAGAGAACTTGATTAAACTTTAAATTGCATTTCGTCGAACGCTGTAAGTGTGCTTACAGAATATATGTGTTGATATGTGACTGTGTGTATGTGTGTATGTGTGTGCATGGTGGCTTGGTAGAGGCTGTAGCAGAAAGCAGCAGCTTCTCAGATAAGTCTGTTACTTCTCTTTCCAAAGTTTAAAGAAAAATATGACTTCATGCAGTGAACTTAAATCAGGTAACACCTCAGGTAATTGGAAGTAGTGAAAAATATAAACGCAAGTGTTAGTTATGTATTTGTTTCTTTTAAAGCTCCCGTAAGGAGCTCTGGGTTTGTGCGGATTACAGCGCCCCCTGTGGACAAACCGGTGCATCTTTTCTTTGTGCTGATCTTGTCCTGTACATGTGTAGGTACTGTTTCTGACTCATCCTGCTTCCATGTAACAGACAATTGAATCGCTCATTGTGAAAATTTGCTGTTGGGGGGGGGGGAGCGCTGGTAGCTTTGTGGTTAGCGTGTCCCCATGTATGGAGGCTGTAGTTCTCCGAGCGGGCGGCCCGGGTTCGAATCCGACCAGTGGCACCGTTCCCGGATTGACTCTATCCCCTGTCCTATCTCTACAATGAAAATAGGCGCAAAAAAAACCCAAAATACATCTTTAGAAAAACTGCCGTGAAAAATGTCAAGAAGGCTGTTTCTTTAGCGTGCTGCAATGTTCTCACCTGACACTTACACCATGGCAGCAGCTACAGGCATTAAAAATACGATATTGAAGAAAAGCAGTTCAATTTGTGATAAATATATTGTTAATATGCTATTTTTTATTGATTGCCTGTCTGTCATGGAAAATGCATCCCTCAAGGTTAACCCCATTTTCAGGAAGTCTGTAGCGCAGTGTTTAGTGTGCGTACCCCATGTACAGAGGCTACAGTCCTCCAAGCGGGTGTTCCCAGGTTCAAATCTGACGTGTGGCTCTTTTCCTTGCCCCACTCTCTCTCCCCCATTTCTGACTCAATCCACTGTCCTATCTCTCAAATAAAGGCAAAAATAAAAATGAGGGGAAAAAAAAGATGTCTGTATTGCACAGATTGCAGATCCCTTTAAAACTAATTTTGCACTCTACAGATCTACTCAAAATTGACATGACTTCTTAAGGCAGGCATTTGACAAATTATGCACTTCTTCAAAAATCCAGTTCAGCTTCGCATTAACACAATTTCAAGCACCTTAATACCTGTAAAAACTGTTCACCCAACTTTCCTGCTTGTCACTTCCAAACCCAGATCAAAAAGGATTTGCTCTATTCAGCTGCTAACAAATCCAATTTAGCCCATGTTCGCACATTTCACACGGCTCTTGTAAATGACTCATCTCCAGGCAACACTCAACAAATGAAAGTAATAAATAATTTCAGAAGGACAATTAAGTCTCCCTTCATTAACCATTAGCTCATTAAGTCTGCCTTCGTTAGTAGAGGTTGGATGATCGCGTCCTGCCAGTCTGTCACGACTCCGATATATCCCTGCTGCCAAAAGTGAAGCGATGTGAGCGCACACATGTTCAGGCACAAACAAGGAAGTTGGCACTAAAAAAACAGAGACCCACTTGTGTCTTAATGAGTTTCTCTGTTTGTTCAGTGTGCTCTGCGCCTTCATTATCATCCCCTTCTCATTGCAGAATGCCTCAATGAAAGCAATCAACACCACATCATTACACTCTAGAGGATGCTACTGTAGCTGCAGCTCGCTTTGTCTTTTTGCCATTTTTATCTTGTCTGCGTCTTTCTTTGCTCTGCTTCTTCTCTCATTAAACCCTTTCTCTTTTCCATTGTCCTACACCCTTGTTCTTCCTCTTCCTCCAAATGTCTCTTCCACTCTTTCCCCCCTTGCCTGACATTATTTAATCAAATAGTCTGCAGGATTAGGACAAGACTGTACCCCAAACTCTGCTTGACCTTGTATATAATAGCAAATCTGCAAGGAATTAGGTCTGTATTGGAGTCTGAATAAAATTAGCCCGTCCCCTGTTAATTGCATTTTAATGCAGCTGTTGCCATCCTTGTGAAGCAAATTGATTTGTAATTCAGAGGGTGTTGCTGTGCCTGAAAAGAAGATCGTTCTGGTTCAGCCTTTAAGTGCACAGGAGCCCCAGCCTTCAGTACATTTCAAGGGTTTGAGCAAACATTTGCTCTCGCTAATTTGCTCAACAGCAGAAAGTGTAAGATTTGATTTGCACGTGCATGCGGACGCACAGAACAGATTTTCTGCACAAAGAAAAAAAAAAAAGAAAATGTTCCCTTTATGCATGTGGAATCATTCTGATGGTGTCACAAGTACCTCCTGGGAGTGAGGATGATCATGTCGCAGAATGCATGGCACAATATCCCCCCTCAAACAACACACAGAGCAGTCCTAGAAAAAGCAATCATGGCGATGGTGATACACAGGCAGATGAATACATCAGTGATATCACACGGTGCAGCAGTTAATTCCCCCGACAGGTAGAGAGGACAGAAGGCTGCGGCTGAATTATGGAAGCAATTGTAAGGCTCGTCTGCAGCTATTTTTCCTTATACATATGTACACAGATGGATGGATGCATATAAGACATACTTAACTAGGATGCAAACCTTGAATAATTGCACACCCACACACATTGCTCACACACCAGCTCCTGCACAGCCGGACTATAGAGAGAGCGTGGGAAAGATTTCTGCTTCTGACCTTGGCTTTGGAACACACAACTTTGTAAAAAACCACCAGCAGAGACACAGATAATAAGTTGTCTTTTTGAAAGGAAAAAAAAAAAAAGTCTGTGTGTGTTTGCATGTGTTTGTAAGCCCCAAGTGGAATCAAGTGGAACTGACGCTGATTGAATGAAAGGGGAGACAGTGTTTTCTAAATTCCCTTAGGCAAAGTCATTCCATTTGCTCTCACCAGGGGACAGACACCACTTATCAATTTATGAATTGAATTTCATTTTCAGCGTCCAATACACAGCGTGAGAGTCACTGAGTAAAGAGGCGCCTTTCACTGCATTGTGAGATAGTGAGGATGTCCCTGTTACACACACACACACACACACACACACACACACACACACACACACACACACACACACACACACACACACACACACACACACAACAGTCCATTAACAAAAGGACTGATATGATAGAAGCTTTTGCGTCCTCGCTTTTCAAAAGAGGTACAATTTGCATATGTAATTGAAAGAGACAGGACAAGTTTTGACATTTATATTCGCTGTAAGGTTTTACAGTGAAAACTTTCTGAATTTGCCTCTAGGCGATTTGAAAGGTGGACAAAAGTCGTTTAGGTTCGCAAATTCATGCTGTGCTGTAATTACATACTTTGAACAATGAAATCAATAACCATTAACTTACGAAAGACATGTGGCTACAGCAGAAAAAAATACACACACGTTAGAAAAGATCTCAAAATATTACACTGCATAGTGGTGAAAGAAGCAGGGGTGGGGGGGGGGGTAATATGTTTGGAACTGCAGTTCATCAAAATATGAGGCTTGAAGATATCCCTCTGACATCATCCTTTGACACTGTCCTATAGCTTATTGTTTGACGAGGTGAATGTCGTTTTATGGAATGATATGGGTCAAACAAAGAACTGACTTGCATACACGAGACCAGGGCTCTATTTCCATGTAAATTAAATAGTCAATGTTGGCCTCTTTTATGATGTTCAACTTTTTGGTAAACAAATTTGAGGCTAGTACTGACCAATAATTACTGATATACATGTAGCTAGTACATCGACATAATTTTACCACACCCAAATCATGCTCTTTTTAAGAACCCTAACCAAGTAGTTTGTGTGTCTAAACGTAACCTACTACTATATAAGCTACTGATCCACAACATGAAGCCCCTGCATGTGAAAAAAGTCAAAAATCTATTTTTTTCTTTTTTTGCAATGTTTATTTTTCTAAAAGTATTACCAGATGGTGCTTATTTCTTATCATTAGGTATACCTGAACGTTAAACTTGCAATTGCACATAGGAAACCACCACTAAGTGAAACATGTCATCATAGTTAATGATACAGCATGTATATAGTCCTTAACCACTTGGGTCTTGTTCTGGGAGTTTTTTCCCCATCATTCCTTACACTATTATAATATTGTACTGCATCAGGATTACTACTTAGCTTGGGTAATGCAGCAAGATTTCTCAGAAACGAAGAAACGTGTAGGTAGGTGATCAAACAACCTCAAAGTGGCCACACAGAAGGGAAACAATAACTTCTTCCCTACATACGCCTAACGTTCTAAGACCTCAGCCATTACTTCTGAGTATAATGTTATCAGAGCTGATATGTCCACAGCCATCAAAATAAGACCCTTTCAATAAACCACAGCTAAAAAAAATGCAGCTTAAATGCAGTTGTGAAATTGCCTGCTTAGTGTGTTTGGATGACCCCTGTTTGCACTGTTTCTTTTATATGCTAAGTTCCTTTGGAATTTCCTCAGAGCTACACTGCTGGGACAGCCTAGTTTCCCCACAAGGATTAACAAAGTTTCATCATATTACATCTCGTGTCATCCCCTCTCTCCACTCCGTATATCATCCCACAAAGCAAGAACGGTTAAAGATAATCTTCAAAAGAAAATCCAACAAAAGGGACACCAATAACTTTGGTTCAACTCGATTTTCTTTGTGATTGAGAGTGTAGCGTTTCCTTGCCGGAAGAGCAAAAAAAATTGGAGAAAAGAAAGCGTCTGTTTTCTAGGGGATTTGGATGTGGAATTTTCACACAATCTGTTGTTTGAATCTCTTTTGTCTGCAGCTAGATAAGAAGTCACACACACACACACTCGATGTGGCTACTGAGCCCCTTGTGTTGAGTGGGCGACTAGCTGTGACTGGCACTGTCAGATTAGCCCATTTATAAAGACATATGTTTATTGCAGCATGTCTTTGTGTGTGTGTGTGTGTGTGTGTGTGTGTGTGTGTGTGTGTGTGCATGCTACATACAGTACTATTTACAGCCTGTGATACATGCAGCATTATTCATGTTAAACTGTGCAGAGAGATACAGTCTTGTGTCAAATAATACCGCTGTCACAGGCTTCTGCTGGATTGCTTGATATCATCACACACACGCACACACACACACACACACACACACACACACACACACACACACACACACACACACACACACACACACACACACACACCCAGGTACGTTGACTAATCCTTAAAACTCCCCCACACACAATCAGTTGCACACTTACCCAAACATGCTGTTATACATCGGTGGAGACACAAGATTCACTCCCACACTGACATACAATACACACGCATGTACACGCGTGCACACACACACACACGCACACACACAGGATGCACCTAATCGCATTAGGCAAATGAGAAGGAGGCAGTGTGCAGTCAGAAAGGCGCTCTGTTCGAGTGCTGTTGCTGTGACGGATCCTGACATAAATCATGTTTCATTGTTGTTGTTTTTTGTTTTTTTTTATGTGCAAATCTCCAATTCAACGCACGGAGTAGTTGTTAACAAGCACTTTCAAACACACACACACACAATAATGTGTGGATTTCCGAAGGAAAAGGAACCAGAAATCGTGTGGCAGCAAACGCACGCATTTGCTGTGCAAGTGCATGGGATAGATGTGGATGAGAAATGCCATGGCCGTCATTACGGGAACCATATTTCATAATCATGTGGCCATCCATCAGCCCTGTTCAGCTAATGATGACAAAGCAAACACACACACACACTCTTACTCAAACTGCTCACACAAACACACACCTAGAGAGTGTTCTCCGTTGCAGGTTTGAAAGCGTCTGCAAGGACAAACAGGAGCAGCACAAAGAAGAGGAACACAGCCACGTGCATTCACATGAGCACTCTTGAGGAAGCACAATTACGCCATCACATGTTTAAAACACATCAACACAAAGCCATGTCCAATTGGGTACCACACAAACACATTCAAGCACACGCACTGAATGAAGTGGCTGTTGACAGATTCAAGCTGTAATTGATACCCGTGTTTGGCAGCCATTTTTATTTGGCTCGACCACAAGCCAGGAATGATCTAAGCTCCCAAGCACAACACACACACACACACACACACACACACACACACACACACACACACACACACATACAAAGGCTTTCTTTACAAGCACCACTTGAAACATCTTGACACATCGCTCCACACACACATACATGGGAGATAAATCCACACTTTAGGCTCCTTAAGGCTAATGCACACAGGCTGAAAAAACTTTCTATCTCAGTTGGTAAAAATAAACGTGGTACTGCTGCCGCTGATGGAAACTCAAGGAAGACACCCTGCATTTTAATTGGTTGTCGTCACTCCACTTTATCTTGCCAGGAATGTTGGGTAAGGGGACAGGTGCAAATTGAATTCACAGAATCCTTCACACAAACGTAAAAGGCAAAGAAAGGAAGAGATTAATGAGTTAAATCTTACCTTAAACAGGCGCAAGATGTTGGCCACCATAATTGACACAGAGCTAGCTGCAGCTCCAATCACCCCTACGATTTTATCGGGCTTTGTGAAGATCGGAGGGTCTCCATTAGCGCAGCGAACGTCGGATCCATCCCTCTCTATCAAGGCTTGCACAAACGTCAGCGACTGCTCAAGTGCGTATGTGTCCCTGGAGCAGGTATCCAAGATTCGGGCCCCCAGTGTGATGTTAGGCAGCAGATCGGGGTCCTTGTTGATCAGATCAATGGCGAACATCATGGCCTCCAAACGATGGATGCCCTTTTCCTTTTTCAGCTCCCCGCAGGGTGTGCCGCGATCCCCCCTTGAGTGCACAGGAAATAATCCACCGAGGATGATGTCCCCATCCAGTCGGATGGAGTGGGCATACTCAGGTGCGGCCTGGGGGTCTATTGGGATCCGTTGAGGGGAGGTGACAGGAAGGAGCCAGGTGTAGGAAGTAGCCATAAGCAGGAAGAAGACAGAGGGAGACCCTAGGGAGGATGCCGGGCTCCAATGTGGTTCCATGATCAACTAATGATTACCAAACAACAGCTAAGGTGATCTTTACAAAGATATTCTAAAACTCAGGATGTGTATTTATGAATATTACTAAGGGTCTTCCTATTGGTCAAAAAGGGAGGGGAAAAGGTCCCCGGGGATGGAGCTAGCCGAGCCCCATGAGCAAATCATATTCCAGAATAGGCAGTGTGGTGCAGAGAATGGTTTCCTAAAAACGTGGCAGTGATGTACTGTAGAGGTCTTGTTCTGGTTGATGCTGTAATCCACAAGTCACATCTTCAGCAGAGCCTGTTGAAAAGAGACAGAGAGAGAGAGAGGAAGTCTGAGCACCAGTGTGATGTGAACATCAAGCTGCTGTAGGGATGCACGGTCCACATGACAAACATGAGTAAACCACTCACGGGCTAGAAGAAAACGCAGCCAAGCATACAAAAAAATAAAAAATAACTAGTCACAAATACACACATGCTCATTTGCCTGCACACACTCACATGGGTATAGTCTTTCTAGGAGGAGCTGTCAAATTTGCACTTGCATTCTATAATTGAAAACCCAAAGTCTGTCAGTTTATAATCACCTCTGCACAAACACACACATTCACACTCCTCTCTTGGCATATCGATGAGTGGAACAGCTGTTGAAATGACAGCGGAGAACCCTGGGCTATTCGCGCAGAGGCTCAGACTACCTGCTGCAGTGGAGACGAGGAGAGCAGGAGAGAGAGGAGGGAGGGAGATGGGGGGGAAACACGGACCGAGGCGAAGGGAGGGAGGAGAGGCAGAAAGTGAAACCATGTGAGACAGTGCGAGGGAAACAGGAGACGGCAGTGAAGAAGACAGAGAGCGGCACCTCGGAGCAAGCGTGCTGCATCATTCAACAACACCTGTTGTTTCTGCTGCAGCTAAATGAACATATTACATCCAGTACACCTAGCTATGCGCACACACCACAAACAGACACAACATACACAAACAAACAAACAAACAAACAAACACGGGGCTTGAAATCTTAAGAGGTAGTTTAAATTCTGAATGTTGTTTTGAAGCATTAACAGCATTAAGTGCGTAAAAGTGAACCATCCTGGTCATGATACAAGTGCTAATGTGCTTTCAGTAGGCAAGGCCCTGGGGGATTTAGTTTGTCATTTGCCTTTTGCATGTTGGATATGTCCAATCTGAGAGCAATTCTTCTGCTAAGTTTTGTCCCTTTATTAGTAATATATTGGGCCCTGCAAGGCAAAAGAGCATTTGTTAATCCATTCCCACAGTTTACAAATCTGTGTGCACAGTTTAGGAAACTGTGCAGCCACATTGCATATCCATACGCATGCATTTGTAATCTGTGGGGAACAGATTTGCAAACGGCTTTTTCTTTAGTTCGCTAAGCCTTATCGATAAGACTGGAAATGTGGGAAACAGTTATTTCCAAAAATCTGCCTTACACCTTAGAAGCTTGTGTATTAACATGGTTTTGTTATTACTCTTACAAAAGTTTAGGTATAAGAAAATATATCTTTTTTTTTAATGCAGGTCCATCTGTTGCAAAAAATTCTAATCATTTAGCACAGTTTGAGCAAATAAGTAAATTTTTTTTCTTTGGGCTTTAGTTATTCTGACAGATAGACTATGTTGTTTTTTTTCTCGTTGTCACATAAAGGCAAGCTATCCCTCCTTGTTTTTAGTCTTTATGCTAAGCTATGCTAGCCCTCTGCTTGCTGGAGTGTCATATTATACCGTCCCATTAACATATTCACATTTCACTTTCAAACACTTAAGAGTGGATTATATGAATTTATGAACCCAGGCTATATCCAAGGCTAGAATACCAAGTAGGTAAAACTGCTCTGGGCGCTGGACCCAAAGGGGCCAAAAGAATTCAGGCTTACTTTAGGGAAGTTAGAGTGAGGTAATTTAATGAATTTCAAATGTGACTGTCTGTACTGTATGCATCTCTAAAGCACATTATAAACCTTAATGTAGAAGATCCTTCATTCTGACACCATCTATAGGCCTTCAGCTCTGGTTTGCCCCAGGGTCCCCCCCAGTGGGTCTGTCCCTGCCTCCATCACGTCATATGAGGCCCTAATGATTATTTTAACCAGCACCTTTTCTACCGACTTAGGATCAGAAACTACTCTTTTACACTCTTAAAGCTTTCTTAAAGGAGCAATTGTAACTCTGACACCTAGTGTGTAAAATTAGTACTGCAGTCTAGCTTCGAAGCATTGGCGCAAACTGTCTCCCCCCCTGCTGCCTCCTCCCAAGAGTTGATGTGCAGGTTGCTCATGTCGTGGACACTGAAGCTTCAGTGTTTAACCAGCTCTAACTTATCTTCATTTTTCATTTTACCTCGTGTTTGGTCGTGGAGCTTAATAGAAACATTCATTTGCTTTTTTTTTAGGTCCGGTAGAATCAGTTAAATCTGAACCTGTTTGCTTGCCCACTTCCATCGCTGCAACACCTGTTGGTTTGCCGTCTGTGTGTCAAGTGAAGGGCGTTTAAATTGGTCCGTGAGGGAGCGCCTAAAAGATGCCTTTACTTCTCTGGTCCAAACAAAAACAAACCATTTCGCACCCAAATTGAAACTAAGGAGGAGGACATACCGGTTTCTGCACTATTAACGGAAAAGGTAATACTGCAACATAGCATGTTTCCTTAATGTCTGATGATAAAGTAAGGTCATTTTATGATTTCATTCAGTAGATATCTTACATATTGGACGTTTAACTCAGAGAACATCAACTAAAAGGTGGCCAAACTAATAGCAAGGCATCATCTATGAAGCTTTGATTGACCTAGGCTTTCTAATTTTACCCACAGGCACCTCTAACATGTTTCAGGTTGAGGCCTCATCACAGCTAGAGTCACACTTCCACAAATGTGTCTATAATTTGATTCTGTCCCAATTGATTCATCAGTTTCTTTCAACTCTAGATGGAATTAGGTCAAAGCCACTCATAGTCAGCCAAGCCCCCTCTATGATTAAAACCCCTGCTTTACATATAGGTTAGCCACTACTCTTCTTGTCACAGAATTGTTTATTCAACACTTTTTCCTTGGACTCAGGCTAAATATAGCCCTAATAGGATCCACTGTAGCTCTCAGACTCAGCTTCTGTTGATCATCTCTCTTGCGATTCATCTTCTCGCTTCTCAGAAATGGGATCTTCCAGTAAGGGGGAAGCTTCCACATGGACTTAAATTGACCTAATGGATGTCTTTAATCTGGGGAGAGCATATTCATGATTTAAGAAAATGTTAATTCATGATGTAACTGCATGCAACGCTCTTAGGAGACGTGTCAACATAAATCAGATGTATACGTTTCATGAGAGAACTAAGGCCCTGAGGTTATTAAATGTTTTACATCTCATTTGGGCTGATGATGCTCCTGTCTGAGCTACGGTATATCAACACAGTACTTCTCACCTGATCTCAACACCCTGATCTCAGCTATTACTCTTTTAGTCCTGTGCCCCCATGGGAGTCCTTGTCCTTCATGACGCCTTACAAAGGCTTAAGAACCAGACTTTTTCTCCCATGTGGCAGCCTAATGGAAGGCACCAGATCTACCAAAAAGGAGGTTTCCTGACTCAAAGATGAAGATGGTCAAACCCCGGGAGGCTACAGCTGGCTCATCGCTTGTTTTCATTTAAACTCACCTGCCTGGCTGTGCAGGTGAGTGTTTCCCCACTTCTTGTTCTTCTCTTGTTTTATCCTGTCTGCTTTTTGGTTTCACTGCTTCTATTTTTTTCCTCTCATCTGGCCTCCTTGCCCCTTTTTCTTTCCTTCACTCTTTAAGTCATTCTCCTTCCTAGATTCTTTAATTGTCACCCTGTCCTTTTTTTTCTACTTTTTCTCATTCACACTTTTTCTTTTTTTTAAATTCCATTCCTCTCTGCCACCGTCTCCTCTCCGTCACCTCCTCATTTCTCTGGGGAGCGTGTTGCTCTTTCTGAAAAAAACAAGAGAGCTTTTCTCTCTCTCTCTCTCTCTCTCTCTCTCTCTATCTTAGAAGGGTTTTCTCCGAGGCTCCCATTCAACCATTTCTGTCCGTTTTCCCTCACAATCTCCATCACCTCTACGTCTACGTCTCTTTCCATTGATGTCTTACTCTTTTTAATCCCTTTTGCTCTGATCTCAACCATCTTCACCACTTTCGAGCTGATTTTTTTTTGTGTGTGAATAAAGCAAGATCGTGGGCAGAATGGTGATCCTTCTTTTCTCACCACACACACACACACACACACCCACTCTGTGGATACACCCCCTAATTCAGCGAGGCACTGGCTTACCCAGAATGTGAATAAATTCATAATGAGGCATTTCCTGAAAATACATACATGGAAAAGACACCCATGCAGGAAATTTCATATTCAAAACTGTGTGCAAACCCTACACGTTCTCTCTTCAACATTATCACCAAGTGGAGAGACTTTCAACCCATGTTCAATGTCATATTTGGATTGATTTTTACATGCATTCATTCGTAGAAGTCCCAGCTTTTATTGCTAAGAAACACGCAGACTATAGCACAGCCCTTATTTCTAAAAGCCCCATGCTTCTAACATGATTAAGTCATGTGTCTGGAGATAAAACGCAGCCTACAGGTTCAGAAATAAAAATGGGAGATCAAAGTCTATGGTTGAAGCTCATTATGCAGCGCTATATAGGCTTCCTTTCTGCACAGCGTTGATGGTATTCTGATTGCACCACAATTAAGACATCCACTGTAAAAGCAGATGTACACCATTGCATTGGTATCTTCAGGGAGAGCAAATTATGGAGCTTTTGTTCATGGCTCTGTGTATAAAACAAGGTAAAATTGAGTTCCTATGAATGAAACATACCTCTTTCTATTTACTCACCTAACCATCATTGCACAGATTCCAGGTGAAATGAAAAGAATAAGTCGGGATATTAAGAAAATCCCATAAGAAATAGGCAGCAAGAGGAATTGAGACAATAAATAAGACAGAGTACCCAAAAATCCATCACTGGAGAGAAAACACCCATAGAAAAACAGGAGGTTATGGTGTTAAAAAAAAAAAAAAAAAATACAGAATGACTGTATGAGGTACCTCAGGAAATCAAATTTATCCGACAGTGTGTGAAGGGTGAGGAGCTCCGTCTCTCCAGACCTCCCCCCGCGGACTCCTCAGGGTCCCTGTCCGCCTCAGGCAACTTCCTTGCGGAGCTCAGCAGTTTTTACGCCCAAATGTATCAGTTCTCCTGGAGAGAGAGAGAGAGATGTTTTCCACAACAGCAAACGGATTTACAGACAATATGATAATCCCAATGGCGAAGACATGGCAAAGAAAGGCATCTTTAGGTGGTCGATGTTAAATGTTCAATTGTTTTTTTTGGGTTTTTTTTAAAAGTGCGCAGTCGTGAACCAGCAGCGCAGATTTTCCTGGTGAAACGCAATTATTACGCCTGCACTTGTTTAAATGTGACAAAAAGAGGGAGGCTGCCTGTAATGAAGTCAATACTAAAGAATGTGAGTGAGCTACAGAGAGGGGAAGAGAGAGAGAGAGAGGAGAGAGAGAGAGAGAGAGAGAGAGAGGGGGAGAGAGAGAGAGAAGAGAGAGAGAGAGGGGGGAATCCATCATAGACGGAATCTGTCAGTCATGATCAATATTGTTGGTAAAACCCACCTGATTTCCATCCACGGTGCTCCTTTTCTGTCTCGAAGCTTTACGCACTTGGCGCATAGACCCCCGTCCCCGCGTGAAGTCCACTCGTGTCGCTCTTCCACGGACGCGCGCGCACACACTCCTCCAGTCGGTCGTCGGTGCTGAAAGGGACAGCGCACGACTCCACAGCCGATGAAATAACCCCCCCCCCCCCTTCCTCCTCCTCCCCTCTACATGAAAACATATGCCTATTCCAGGCACCAAATCATCGTCTAATTGCGCCACTGTCGTCCGGCAGAGCCCGCACATTCAATCAAGTTTATGACTAATCAATGGGATCGATAGTTTCCACAGTGGAAGGCTTTGGTTATTTGAACACATTAATAAGTCATAAAAATATGCTCACACAGGCGTTGCGCCACACACTCTTTAATTGCCTCAACTTCAATCCATTTTTTTTACTGCGCCCATTGATTCCCCTTGTAAAAGCAGAGCGCCACGCACGGCTCTTTGGGGCTGAATGGAATTAAATAAATGAACGCGTCCCATCTGCTGTGTAATAACAATTTGATAAGCTGTGAGGAGGGAGAAAGCAGGCAATCGAAGCGGACCCGGGGTGTTCACTCGTGTGACAATGTGGAAGATGTGCGCAACATGTCCAATTTGCGACTCTGCCACTGCAGAAGGTGAAGGGCACGCGGGGTAATGGCGCCATCTTGTGGCCAAAGTCGTGTAATTGCAGCGGTGTGGGGGTAAAAAAAAAAAAAGCAGGTTGGGGTCTGTAAGTGCAATCATCTTAAAATGCCAGAGCAGGAATTGTCCTGAATGTACTTTTTATCTTCTTTATTCATTCATTCAGAGTTGTCTATATGGCAGGTCTACTGCTTGTGTGTCCAGACGTCATCAAGGGTCCTTCAGGGTCTATTAGGGAGCCCCCTCCAAAATAAAGGTTATACAATTCTTTAAATAATGCTTCCTTCAATATCAGGTTGCTGAGAAAAAACAACATTTTGAAGTGTTTCTTGAGTGATTTATTTGATAAGCTTGAACACAAAGATACCATGACTTTCCAATCCTAAAGGACTGCATGTCCCATGATGCAACCATCTTCAGACCCTTCTCACCTGGAAAATGAACATTTTCATATAGGAGCAAAACATTTTATGCATCTTTTATTTTATTACTTTTTCCACATCCCAACATCGTTATCAAGTCTATCTCCAAATCAAACCTCAATGACGTTTTCCTTGCAGCAGTAAGATCATTAGTTTCTACTAATGTGTGCTTTTAAACTTTTTATTCATACTGCAGTAAGATACCCTGCACTGATTCTTTCCACGTTACGCTGTTTCATATGTGCTCAAACTCTGATTTAATTCACAGCATAAATCCTTGTATCACTCTTTGAGGTGTCAGAAGAAATGACGTACTGCAGTGCAGGAAATAATGCAGGAAGGGAAACTAGTAATCTTTTAAAAAAAATGAGTGAAAATGCAAATGTCGAAAGAAGCAATTCCTGAGAAGGCAAATGAAATCCCCTCTCTGCATGCACAGTAACAAACAAACATGATTGATGGAAGTTTGTGAGTCATATACAAAAAAAAAAAAATAAAAAAGCCACACAAAGTCCCCCGGTGAGGTTTGAAGCAGTACATTTTTATTTATTAAGTGGTTCGTTTTAACATTCTGGTCACATCTGAAAGGCTTCTGGAACTCTCCTCAGGTTTCTGTAGAAGGTGAGCTTAATAACATGTTACAACTGATCATGAAAGAAATGATATTAATACAAAAGAAAAGATGTCAAGGTTTGAAGCCTTTTCACTTCATGACTCATTCCAACAAAACCTTCTTCAAAAGGAATGAGATAAAGTAATCGTGGAACAACGTAAAACGACAGATTGTAACTAGTCAGACATGTTTGAAGGAAATGGTCAACCAACAGTTAAGTACAATTCAGTAACTATTTTCACTGATATAATAACTATACTTTATATCATCCGGTTGAGGATGAATCCATATTTACATGTTTTCAAGACCTTGTTGCAGCAGTTATAAAAATAAAGTTTGGTCTTTCATTTTCTTCCGGTTTTGTTCCACTTCATGGCTTTCTGTTTGAACATTAAGACGTATCTACATTTGGTCTTTCTCAATATCTTCCTCCTGAACCATGTGCCAGTGTTTCTAGACTACCTCTGGGTACTGTTGCTGTAAACCAACAAAAGCTGCCGCTCGAAGTTTGAGTACAAGCAGAGATAATAATGAAAGCAGAGAATCCATAGATGAAGGTCAAGACAAGTTGACAGAGTTGTGAAACAGCATGTGATGTGTGATGTACATTTTTCAGTTTGTAGAATGAGCTCTTGAGCTTTCTTTTTCGTCACAGTGGTCAAATTTAGCCCCATTGTATCAGGATGAGGACCACAAACTAAAGATTCCCAAACAGCGGGTATCAGTTCAAGCCTGTTAAGACATGACTGCCTTTTAAAAAAAAAAAAAAAAAAATCACCGGGCGCCACATTGCTGTGAAAGTGCATTTTTGCCAATCAGGACGAATTTCTGGAGAGTTGCAAGACTTAAAGCAATAAGTCACTAAAAAGAAAAAGTCTTCTTCTAGTTAATGGTTGCTACGATTTAAATAAGAGTGACTGTTATTGTGACACCGACGGCAACCTCTCCACATAAAAATGTATTCAAACACAGGAGCAATAATATGTGCAGTCGTCTCGTCCATCTTACTGTAAATTGGATTCTTGCGCATTAGCAGAAGGGATTTACAATAAAGGGGATAATAAAGGTGTTAATTTGATACTTTGAATGTTTGGCCTGTGGTTGCACACCTCAGAGTTAACAATGTTAGCTGTTATAAGTAAAAAATAATCCACATTTAGCAGAACATTAACGTAAAGCCGTTGTCATTTAATATTCATTAAGCATCTGTATTATCATTGCATAACCTTCAGCCCATCATAATTAGTGCCACTTCAGTGATTTCTTTTGTTTTTGGTATTCTGTCTTGTTTCAGGGCATTGCTCTCTTAGCTCAGAGTCGTAGGCTAATGAACATCTTAAGACACAGATATCATTTGGACTAACACGTTGGCAGAAGAGTTAGAGCGTGAACAGGGGTTGGTCAAAGATGGAAAAACTCCTTTGAACATTTTTTTTTCCACATGCAGTCCAACAAACAAGGAAGAAAATAACAAGCAAACACAAGTGAGTGGAAATTGATAGAAGTGTTTCAAGAAATAAAAAGAAGCAAACATCATTTTTAAGAAGAACAAAATATACTTTGGGTTTTTCTTTTCCTTACTTTGACCAAACCTTGCAATCGATAAACAATTCATCCTGTGATAAAAGAAATGGCTGCTGTTGGTCACTGCAAAGCTGATCAAACAAAATCAGACTGTGGGAGAAAATGAAAAATAATAATAATGAAGTGAGTACTGTTCAACTGATCTGAAATGCTCAGAGCTAAAAAGGCAGGTAGGTTTGTGTGTGCGTCTGTCTGAGCCTGCATGAGTGAATCCTTTTCTTTCTCAAACGGGGGAAAAGAAAGTTTCCAGTTTTCTGTGGCGGCCACGGTCCAGTTGATTCCATCCCTCTTCACTGACACACTCGTCCTTCCATTGTCTCACGTTGTCCCTTTGCTGAAGGATTTTTACAGAGAGCAAAGCTCTACAAGTCAGTCTTCTGCATATTATCTCTATTTACAAACTGTTGTAAGTAAATACAGATAGAAACCGCCGCAGTGAGTCTTCTCGTCACTACAGTCTGTCTTCTGATAGCAGCGCCACCGTCCAGCAAGCTGGCTGGCTTCATAATGTAACTATACAAAAAAAAAAAAGGGTTCGGATTCCAACAATATATTTGGTTCCAAAGCAAAAGGTGGAATTCCTTTGTACTTCACTCCTCTTGTTTGTTTCTCTCTGCTGAGCTTGTTCCACTCGACCATTGTTTTTCTTAACTGAAACTTCATACGGCTTCTTCTTCATAAGTGTCTGTCCCCTTCATTATCACCGGCAGACTGTGAGTAGAGAGAGAAGAAGAAGAAGAGGTAAGAGGTGTGGAAAGAGCAAAACAGAAGGAGGGGGAAAGGGAGGAATCAAGTGAGGGGAAAAAAAGGGAGCATAAATAAACAAACTGCAAGAAAAGAAAACAGAGAAAAAGAAGCCAATGGGTCTGATTGAAACGCAGAAATGAGTAGGAGGAAGATGGGAAACAGCTGGCAAACGGCGGAGTGGTCCATTTAAGTCTACAGAATGACTTGTCCCCCCTCATTTCTCATCCTGGTGAATGATCTTTGTCACAGACAAAAACAACACACACATCTCTTTCCACAAAGGAACCTCACACACACAGACTTTTACACATTTGCTCATGCGCACACCACACAGCGGCGTCTTGTTGTGGTTTTTAAAAACACTGCTGCAACTAGGAGAAAACAAGATGGTAGAGATATCTACTGTGACTCAGAGAAGAACAGAAAAAGAGGGGGGGGGGGATGAGAAGAGGAGGTGCAGACAGGCGTGAAGTAACAGAGTCTCTGCAGAGGAGGTAAACTCTCAGTGTACTCACTGTGTTGTGTGTCTCACCAGACCAGAGATTTGGAGCGGGTGCTGACTCCTTTCCTCCTGTTGGCTGCTGCTGTCGCTGCGTTACGATGGCTACGCTTGTGAGACTCCAAGTACCTCTGAAGAGAACAATAAAAAAATATGATGATTTATTCTGTTTAATTAACAACAAAGTGTTTAAAATTACTTGTGTTTTTTGTTTTCATACTCCCAAATTCTCCTCTTTTTATATCTTGAATAATTGATTTAAAAAAGTGGTTTTGTATCACTTTTGACAGGAAGAGACTTTAGAATTAAAAAAATATATATTTAAAAAACATCTAAATGTTGAGTTTGATTCAGCTCATCAACCACAATATGAAGTAAGGGACACATTTAGTAAAAGGATTTTGATTCAAATTTAAATAAAGTCCCTTAAACCTTCCCTTGAGTCTTTTTGAGACAAAGAAGCAGACGACAGGAATGATCCTCAGTATAATGAGAACTATTAAGCACACACTGACCCCTCAGACTGATATTCATACAGTGGATCATTTTACTTTGACAAGAGAAACGATTGGTCAGAAGCTCAGAGTCCATTACCTTCTTGGCGAAGGCTCGTCCACACTGGTCGCAGGCGTGGAGCGAGAAGTTCCTGGTCACTCTGACCTCAGTGGACCCTGTGCCGCTGCTCTCTGATTGGGTGTCCTGTCGCCGGGTGTGTGGGGTTTGATTGCCAGAGGAGGAGTTGCGCTGGTGCGTGTGCTTGTCGCTGCGACGGGTCAGTGGGGGGCTGACGGGCCGATGCTGCTGGTGGGTCTGCTGTCTCTCCTGCTTGCGGGTGACAGGAGGGGACGGGTCAACGCAGGCGATGAAAGGTCCTGCTGCTTGCGAGTGATGGGCGGAGGTGGAGGCGGAGGCGGGGCAGAGGAAGAGGAGGAGGAGGAGGAGGAAGTTGAAGTGGTGGCTGAAGGCGCTGTGGTGCACTCCTGCTTGCGAGTGACCGGGGGTGAGGGAGAGGAGGAAGAGGATGAAGAAGAAACATGGCGTCCGTTCACTTCTTCTTTGATGCTGCTGCCCGTCCTCTTGCTAGGGTTCGGGCTGTTGAGGACGACCTCGGCGAGCCTCTTCACGGCCCGGCTTTCCAGTTTGGGCATGATCTTGGCCAGGTATGCGGACGACTTCTTATGAACCACCGTTACGTGGCGAAGGACGTCGCGTTTGCGGCGCGACTCGTAGCGACAGAGAGGGCAGCGGTAGAACTTGATGAAGATGTCGTTGCCGTCCGTGTGCAGCTCAATGTGCTTCGTTAAATTCTGGCGGGAGCTAAACTGCCGCTTGCACAGTTTACAGAAGAGCTGCTTGAAATCAAAGCCCACCGAGAGTTTGGTCATTTTGGCGGGCACCACGCGCTGCACACGTTTGCGCCGCGGGAGGTTGAGGAAGATGAGGACGGCGGCATCTTTGGGCTGGGCGGAGCCTCTTCCTCCTTTACCTTCAGGGCCTTGTGTGCCACAGGAACACCTTTGGCTGTTCCAGTGCTGCCGCTAGGAGAGGGCGCTGGGCTGCTCTCAATTTCCTCCTCTTCATCATCATCGTCTCCCTCTGAAGGTTCCACTGCTTCCTCCTTCACTCGGACGCTGTTGCTTGGTGCTGTGGTAGTGCTGCTGCTGTTGGGAGTGGCTGCAGGAGTGGAGGGAGTAGGCGTAGTGGCGTTCTTGTTACTTTTGATGCTGTATATTTTGTGGACGATACGCATGTGTCTCTTCAACATGAGCTGAAACAGAAAAAAAAAATAACACAAAATAATATTTTCCTTCTTGAGAAAAAAACAAAGTAATATACATTTAGGATGACCCGTATAACCCCCTAGACTTCAAAGTGCTGCTGAGGCCGTTCAGCTTAAAACTTAAAACTCTTATCTTTCCATAAAACTCTCTCCTCATATATATCTGTGGTAATTATATCCCAAGTTTTGATTCACTTTGGATTGTATAAAAATGACAGGCCCTTCAGGGCACTTGGAAAGATAAGAGTTTTAAGTTTTCAGTTTCTTTCTGTATATAGAGCTGTTTGTTAGGATTGAATCGATAATTGCTTGTTTGTGTGACGTGCCGAGTGAACTGCAGTAACATGACACGGTTCTACCAGGGTCTACAGGGTTAACATTACAAAGCATCACAAACATGACAAGATTGATATCTCACAGTTTAATGACAAACAAACCTGGGAGCTGTAGTTCCTCTTGCAGAGAGTGCAGCGGCATGAAGCAGGGGTCGTCTGTGGAGAGGCCGGGGCCGGACTCTGAGGTTTGGACTGGTTCGGGTTTGAAGGCGGCGTCTTTGAGCTCACAGGGGTGGACTTTGAGCTTTGTCCACGTGTTGGAGAGGAGTTGTTGCTCTTCCTGGGGGGTGTGGACTCCAGATTGAAGGGCTGGCCGGGCCGAGAGGCGAAGCCGGGTGAGATGGTGTCCCTCCTCATGCCGCGATGCACCTCGTCGAAATGACGACGCACGTTGGCTTTAGTTGCAAAGGTTTTGAGGCACACCGGGCAGGATTTTCCAGTCGGTGTGCTGAGAGTCCTCTGTCGACCTCCAAAATAAACACAGATAGTTCAATTTATTATTCAATGTAATTTCTTTAACAGGCACAATTTACCCTTGTGACATTAAAAAAACTGGTCAAATGTGAAGAAATCCTTACACATCGAACCCTGCACTTTACTCACACAAGTACTTAACAGCAGCAAAAACAAAGAACTGACATTGCTGATTTTAAATGTAGTATAGCGGCTAAGCCCAAACTTAAAGCCACTGGCTAATCTAGCCTATTAATTGACGCACTTGCCGGCTTTGCTCCTGAGCGTAAGCATTCGAAAATAAGACAGTCCAATATCTTCTTTGTTTAGGAATATTTATTTCCTCGTTCCATCAATGTCTTGACTACTGTCGCATGTGAACTGTTCAAACAATAATCCACACCTGTCCATTTACAATCACTCCTGTTACCTCAGTGTGGCGTACAGCGGTCAAAAAAGTGTATTTGCTCCCCGTCTAACAACACCTGACACCCCAGTGATAGTTCCTACTTATATAGAGTTTCACCTTAACCCAAAGGCGACACCTGCTGGAACAATTTGTGTTTGCACTTCGCAAACATGGCTCTACATGTAGGTTTATGTCAGGCACGTTTTCCCAATCCACATCTTAAAGCGCTGATCAATAAGAAATAACCTTTTTTTTTTAACTATAAGTTATGTAAACTCTTACCTTTAACCATAGAGAGTAGGCTTGTGGGAACTGTACGTGTCTCTGTGAACTTTCGGAGCTCTTCCAGTTTGGTCTGGTGCATCTTTCGACAGTGGCGCCTGATGCTGCGGCGAGAGTTAAAGTCCTGACCGCACAGGCAACAGGAGATTGTCACATCTTCAACCTGGACAGGGAGGAGAGAACAAAGAACAGGTTGACCAACTATGATCAACGGCTCTGTTGGGGAGAACTAGACTGTCTTTCTTCTGATTTGGCATTTAAAATGCATCATATCCCCAGCAGGAGCATGTCCAGCCTCCTACCCCACTAGTGGATTCTTCATCTTCATGCTGCGGCTGCTCCTCTTTATTCTCCTCCTCAGCCTCCCATCTCCTCTGTGAATGATTGAGCCCTGGGCTCTCTGGCCCTCCCTGCTGGCTCGGCTTGTTGCTGTCTACACCCTCCACTTGTTCTCCTTCCCAAGCCACTGGACTCTCCCTGGCACTGTGAAGGACGATGAGACAAAACAGCCCGAGATGAATAAAAAGCTGAGAGTGGCTTTAAATCCCAAACTAACAATGAGGGTCTAAGAAGTCTATAGAAACAAAACCGTACATTCTGGACTTGTGTTGATAAAGCATGAAGTAAATGCTACAGTAGACTGAGTACAACTTCCATCCGCTAGAATTCCACGCACCTGGGGTTGTGTGATGGATATCTAGCCAGCTCCTCCTCGGTGGTGAGGTACTGGAACACAGCCTTGGTAGTGGTCTGAATGGGCTCCAGTCGGACAACGTAGTCTGGCCGTTCAGCTCGGGGATATATGGCGTCCAGTAAGTCCTTCATAGCTACACTCTGTCGGTCATCACCTATAGGACATAATGTTTGAATGATCATAACAGTCAAGTTGGTGTTTAGTCCGAGTTGTTTACTTCAGGTCCAAAACTAGACTAGAACCATTAGAACCATTAGACTTCTTACTTTTATGGCTGCAGAAAATGTATTGTATTGTATTATTAATGCGTTGCTGAGCTCAGTTTTTAAGTGATTGTCTGAAATTACCGTCCATCAACAATCCAGTGTGGACAACTGTGCAGCACTTTCAGACATCCGAGGCAGTTCATGACGTTGCCAATGTCAGCAACATTACCTACTGCTTTTTTTTGCTTATATTATTGAACATCCACCAGATGGATTTCTCCACAGTATACAAGTGATTATTAGGTGCTGTTTTACTGGCTGTTTAATTCATTTACAGATCAGGAGGGATTTTTAGCCTTAACATAGCAACTAAGCTTTGTACTGGAGTGAGTTAATACTTAATAACAATGGACCAGAGCAGATAAAGAAAAGTTTATAAGACACGTCTTGTTTTTTGGGGGTCTTTCAGAGGGAAATCTGCCTTCTTGTGTGACTATTTCGCTGTGTTTAGTTTCTGTGCAGCTCTTTCTCGTGCCATCTGTTGTTGCCATCTCGAGTTTGCACTCCTGTTAGCCACTGATAAAGTAGTTGAGCTCTCAGCCTGACATTGATAGTTGTGAGGTCAGCACCCACAGCCCACGACCAATTGGCTGGTGAGTGTTTTCAATCAAACCAGCACTCTTTAAGTTTTATCTAATTAACAGCGTACAACTGTTCTCTTTAAAGGAATACTTGTGACCTAATGAGGCAGAAAAATAGTTCAAAAGTGGCACCACAAGCCTGCTTTACGTCTATATATACCAGCAAGGTGGCTGCATGCACTACACAATGAATCGGGGCAAATTTTCAATTGCGTCAGGTCGCTTGTGAGGGGGTGACGGTGGCAGCTGCACTCAGGGTGTGCGATGGTCTCCGAATTGTACACTGGTATATAGGTCTCTTGGTATATAGGACACAGCACGCTTTCTAGTTGAAAATAGGTATTCAAAATTGGTCTTGTACACAGAAAAGCTTTCAAAATGTATTGTAGCAAGACCCTGAACCCCAGCCTGCTTTTATTCTTCATCAGATGAAAGCCTAAATATCTGAGTAGATAATCTCACACATGTCAAAAAGCCCTACTCTTGAATCTGAGCTTTGTTGCAAAAAAAAAAGAAGTCCTCAAGAGGGAAAAAATTGATGTGTTATTGTCCATCTATGTGCTGAAAGGATACGGCTTCAGTGCCATCCAACATTTTCTGTTTGCACACTTTTTTTCTATACTCAATAAACTACTATGCCTCTGTTGAGCTTTCTTTGAGTCAATACTCCACCTTTAGTAAATGAACAAGTTTCTTTGGTAGAAGTCTTCATAACTAGAGATACGGATGGATTTTATGCACTTAAAAAAATGGAGCACAAATCATTTGGACACTGAATGAGTCCAGTGTCAGGGCTGAATGGAGAAAGATTAAGCTTTTTAAATAAAACACTTTTGTTTATCTTGTATCCATGCAATAATGCTGAGCGTCTTATTTATGAAAAACAGACACCAATTAAGTCATTTATCAAAATAACAATACTATACATATTCAGCCACTTGTAATTGACTCTTGATTGAGAAAAATTAAGTCGCTGGTGCAAGGAACAAGATCATTAGGAGAACAGGCAGATGAAAAGAAGATTATGATGAAACAAGGCTCTTTTCTTACGACAGCGATCATTATAGGGGATAGAGCTGAGAAAATTATAATTGACCATTTCTGTTGAGATTGATTTCTCTTTCAGGAGGAGATGAGAGGAGAGTTGGGTAACAAAGAAATTACTTTTAGACTCTCCTAAGTTTCATCCTTTCCCTCAGTCTGCTACCACTTCTAAGCATCAAAAAAGCAGAGACACAGACACATATGGTGGCTAATGAGAAGTAGATAAAACACCAATGCTGCGAGATCAAAGTCAATTTTCTTCGGGATTCAAGAGAAGAGGAGAGGACAGACTGCACTTTGGGTACCAGACATGATTGATGGATTGAACACTTTACGATGTGTATATGTGAGCTTTTGTGTATTATGTGTGTAATGGAATGAAAGACCGCGGTGTGCAGACGGAGACAATGAGCGGGAGACAGATGTTGTGTGGCAGAATGTGAAAGAAAATACAATGAAATAATCATTGATTCTGAGCATAGGTCCGTGTATGGATGCCTCATAGGGATGCGACAATACAGTCTGCCCACGGTTCAATAAATACCTTTTCTTTTTGGTCACAGTTTTTCGGTTCGGTTCTGAAGGCCCCGCTGTTTTTGTTTTTTTTGGTATTCCATTCTTTAGAGAACTTTAAAGTTAAGATAAAAAGCAAATTGTTTGAATCCAAATCTATTTCTTTATTTCACTTTGAAGCAAAACAACTTTTCTATGTATACACATTCCTTGTGTCTGGCTTAAAGTCTCAGTGAAAAGAAAGCAGCGTTTAAGTAGTGCCGTGTAGACCTGCTGTACAAATAGGAAGACATTTCAGTGATTTTTGTGGACTTTCACACAGAATCAGTAAAGTGTTTCATCGTGTATGGTAACTTTCTTTCAAATGCTGCTTCGTCTTTTCTCCGTCCACTCTCACCCCGTCTGCATCATACAGGTATAAGCTGGTGTCTGTGTGTGGAACAATCAGCAGCTTCATGTGAGTAACTTAACAGCATCCTGTAGTCTGTTGCTTTAAACTAAGTCAAACTCCATTAGTGTTTCCATTTGAGAAGGTGGCACGTGTGAAACAATATTTGCAGACAGTATTTTTTGTTTTGTTTACCGTTGTCTCTTTGTCATTAAACTCAATGCTGAAACCAAAATGTTCCCACAGCACTGATTTAAAAGACGATGGTCAATGTTTCCCCTATATGAGCCGGGTTATGACAATAGGATGGTTGTTGGTTGATTATTTTGTCCAATAAATGTTAATAATTATTTTAATGACAAGAATTTAAAAAATTGCACGCAACTTAAACATTGTTCCACTTCACCACCGCTGCTACAACTCCAACCGAGGGGAAACACTGATGGTGCTTCCAAATATTGCTGCATCTCTTCCCCGCTTGCCATGTGAAGATAATGTGTTTTCAGCTTCCCCCGACTGTGGTGCATTCGAGTTTACTTATCTGGTTCACTATTGTATTGAGAATTGTTGCATCCCTAGTTTTGTTTTTAAATTGTAGAAACCAACAAGTTTGCATTAACGTTTCCTCAGCTTACACTGAAGCGCTGGGTCTGGCCCTTGGAATTATCGTTTCACCTGTTTTGTCTGCTGCAGTATTTTAAACATTTTACAAAAAAAAGGAGGAAAACAAAACAAAAAGATGCAAGATCTGCTGACCTATTGTAAAAATGTCCCACTGGATATAGTAAATAAGTTTACTGCACACCATAACTGGACACCTTTCGTTAGAGTAAACTGCTGGGATGATGCTTTACCGCCTCTTTGTCTCTAGGATTTTCCATGGGAACAAAGTCTTTCTGCTCTTCACACTGCTATTCATTTGCTGTAAATAAATCCAAATTAGTAACTTTAAAGTAACTTTAAACGTGTCAGAGTTTTATCAATTCCATGTATAAAAAAGCTGTTCACTACTCTTAATCCATGAAGACTATTGGGGAAATGTCTCAAGTGACGTGGTTGAAATACAGTTGAGACTGTGATTACAAGCATGTGGCATTCATTGACTGATGTTACATGAGTGTGTGTCTGTATGCTGTGTTGTGTCACTAACCGTCGGGTTCGGGCAGTCGTGACAGGCAGTAGTACTCTTTATGTGTGATGAGGTTGGGCAGACCTCTGAACAGACTGCGACACAGTTTACACTCAAAGATGGTGTCCACCTCCCTCAGCAACATGTGTCTCAGCTGGCTGGTGCCTGTAAGACAAAGAAGTGATAATTACTAACATCAACTAAAAAGGGAGAGATGTAGGGCATTTGTTATCAAGCCTTTTATCATCATGGGAGAGTTACAAAGAAACACTGTCACAGGGAGCCAGCAGCTGTTATATCACTGTGAATCTAAATTCAATCATGTCTACTCTCTTAGATGCTAGACAGAAGTCTGCAAGGTTGTTTACTAGTGATGAGCCCAGTTTCCCAGAAGCTACGTATCTTGCTAGAAAGCTCAAATATTACTATAAAAGATTGGTATTTTGGGAATCTTTTATAAGCACCATTTAATTCACTTAAAGGCAGAGTTGGTAATTTTCGAAAACTAGCATGAATTTGAAAGTAGCATCCCCTCTGTGCTCCCTCAAAAGCCACGCCCCTCACTTACATGCACGAGCGCCATTGGTCCAGAAGCGGACCTCAGCTCATGCTTTGAGTGTGGGCTCATGCATGCATGAGGTAGAGAACGAGCAGGGAGACAGGGAGGCATGTGATTGGTTCATCAGATTGGTACCTCGTGGCAGACGATGGTCAAAGTTTTTACACGCTTAAAACTGCTACAGATGACGGATTTTCTTTGCTCCTTTTTCAGAGCACATGATATTAATGTCTGTCAGGACCTAAAGATAACTTCAACTCAAATCTTAAAAAGTGTATCAGGAGAAAATTACCAACCCTGTGAGAAAAACAAGACTTGGAACAGAGAAAACAAGCAGATTATTGTCACTCTGTAACAAAGCTTGACGGCACAGATTTCCTCTTCCCTAAAAAAAAAACACAACTTTTAGTTTCTTCCTTTATTAGAGGCCTGTAACGGTCCTGGCCTTTGTAACATTAAGTGCTGTTTTTGCGTCACCGCTGTCATCACCTTTACTTTCCTGTCATTGTCGTCAGCATGCTGACTCATGTGTCCAATGCCAAATTTGTCCATAAAGAAGCAGTCAGTGCTTTGTTGGGATTTGTGACTCATATTTGCACACAATCAGATCAACTGCTCTGTCTGCTGGACTGTGCAAGGACACACACACACCCACACACACACACACTTTATAGAATCACTGCCTAAACACTTTCGTATTAATTCCCACTGATGTGAGAACCTGCACATCTTACTGTCACACACATTTACACACACATTGTTGTGTCCTTTCACATGCCACTTATTTTACTCTTTCAGATTTGCGTGGTCTCTGCATTTGATGCTCTTTTCCCACTGGCTCAGCAGAAATGTGGCTTGGGTGTGTTAAAAGGCTGGCTCTTAACATACGTAGGTGGCCATGCAGGAAATATGAGCAAAGGAAACACCTTTAAATGTTTTATGCTCTGCTTTACATACCTCTTTAGCTCTAACTTAAAGATGACAAATTATAGCCATTTTCCACCTTTTCAAACAGTCCCCCTGTAGTATAATGAAACATCTGTGCTGTGCTTTGGTCAAAATATAACATGAATCAAGCACCAGAGGAGGTTTGTGACTCTGTATAAACCAGCTCTCTCAGAACGCTCCGTTTCGGTGTGTGTGTCTCTTTAAATGCAATGACCCCCCCCCCTTTTTTCCCAGCAGACATCACTCCTCTGTAGCGAGAATAAAAATGGCGGACCTGCGTAAAAGTTTTGTTCTCGGCTGGGGATAGAGTCCATGGGTGGAGATATCAGGGGAGGGGAGGGTATTTTTTTTAGACCAGAATCCAATTTGTGACATCACAAGGAGAGCACATTTAAAATGGAGCATTTTTCCCTGTGTTGTCTTTGAGAAAGACTTTTGCAGACCACAAAAAAGCACTGGATGGGTTCATTTCACATTTTGTGTGTAGGTAGACACTCAGGTTACCCAAATATCTGTTCAAAAACACTGTAAAAGTGGATTTTTCATAATATGTCTCGGTTAACAAAGGAATTGGAGCTGAAAGAGTCTGCTGTTGTGCAAATGCCAATCTATTCCTTATTAACAGATACCACAATACGACAGCCAAGTCTCAAGACATGGGAGATTTTCTTTTTTTTGGCTCACAGTCATTTGTAGACATGCAGTATTGACAAATCAGGGACCCGGTCATTATGAAAACAAAGCAAAGTTTCCAGATTAGACAATATGTTTTCCTGCAAAGGTGTGAAACAGTATGCACTGGGCTTCCGGGTACATTTACACTCTTTTGGGGGGGGGGGGGGGGGTGTCAGGACTAAAGGATCGGCCATTGTGCTTTCATCAACAAAACATTTTTCTGACAACATCTAGTCTGTGTGTGGCGCAGTGTTAGTGCACACTCCCCATGCACGGAGGCTACAGTCCTCCAAGCAGGCAGCCCAGGTTCAAATCCGACCTGTGGCTAATTTCCTGCATGTCATTCCCCACTCTCTCTCTCTCTCTCTCTCTCTCTCTCTCTCTCTCTGATTTCCTACTCTATCCACTGTCCTAGTTCTCCACTACAGACACATAAAGCCCCCCCAAAAAATATTTAAAAAACTAAATATAGAACTATAAACTAAATTCTTGTTCTTTTTCTTCTTGTTTAAAGTTCAGTTGTAACTAAGCCAGCGTGTTGTTTCTGCCATTTGGAAAAACATCGGTGCCATAACCAAATTTAAATGATCATTAATAGAAAAAGAATGAATAATAAATGCATTATGTCACATACCTGAACGGAAGCATTCTATTATCTGCTGAATACCGGACTTGGAGGTCTGCAGTGGCTGCTGGAGCAGAGGAGGGTCTCCTGGCTCCACACAGAGACCTAGACAGTGAAAGAAGGAGAGCGATTGCACTTTATAAAAGTAGAATAAATAATTAGATCTGAGTACAACAGTCTTTGAAAGAAACAGCATGACCTGGGAATTATGAACATCTTGTAAGACACAAGGTACAGTCTGAATGGGGCAGTGACTCACTCTGGCCTCGTTTATGTCACACACACACACACACACACACACACACGCTCCAGCCTGAATGTGAGATTAGCTTATTTTGTGATCAGAAAGGAAAAACATGTTGCAGGCGTTAAAAAATGAACGACACATCACAGTGATTTCACACATGAAATCACTGTGATGTGTCGTTCAGAGGAACACAGCTCATGAGGGACTTTTAGCAAACATGCAGTTGAGGGGCAGAGCCATGCTAATGATAAAAAAGATGTGCTTAGTCCAACAGAACTCAGAGCCAGCATAGCATCTGATACCTCAGCATGGATGTCAACTATCAACCAAAGCAGGAGTGTGACCAAACATAAAAGTATTAATGGGTATTGAAAAATGATTTGCTTTTACTCGACACAAACACCAAAGAGTGCAGGGTCATCTGAAGAACAGCCATTCTGGTGCTGGTAGGGATTTTATGTCTGTTTGATTTACTGGTCAGGTTTTTCTGTATTGTCACTTCATTGCTTTTTACAAATCGCCTGCCACAATGTCACAGTAAGGGTACCACATCATCACCTTTTCTCCCTCACATTTCAGGTTGCTAATAAGCTTTCTTGATCTGGAAACAAATCCACGTGCGTTAACTTAGTCAAATAACCAACAAAGCAAGTTGAGAGCTTCACAGAACCCTTCAACACCCTCAGCATACGATGTTACAATATGATCCTGCCAGCTTCTGCTTTGTCGTGTTATGCTGTCTTAAGTGTTGACACATATTTGTCACATCTCCCATATAGTATTGCTCTTGTCGTGTATCTCATTCATCATGTACTTATCAACATCGCTGATGATAAAGAAAATAATGAATCAAGTTAATGTAAAAAAGTAGAAAATCCAGATTCATGCCTGAAGCAGAAAGAAATATATAACAGACACCAATAACAGGTGTTATTTCAGCTTATTGATACCAGTGACATTTGCTATTAATTATCTAATGTTGATTTTAAGTATTCAATTATTATTATTAAGCATTAAATAAAAAATGAAAGGTTTTTTTTTTTGGTCCTTTAATGATTGTTGCAGCAGACCCTGGCTCCATGACCAACAAGGGGCTTCTGAGATGTATTGCAGGGTGGTTAAGAACTCTCATTTTATCTCTATTAATGCATTTCAACAATGAAAAACTTTTTCCCTCGTTATCCTCTTAACTTTTTAGGCAGACAGGACTCAAAAGAGACTTAAACAGATCACCTACACTCACAAACAGATTCACAGACTCTTCAAAAGATTGCGTTTAAGTTCTCACATTATGAAGTGAATATGGTGACAGGGAGAATATACTTTTTGCAGCGACAAAACAACGTTCTGTAACAGTGTTGACTGGGACATAGCTCCAAATTAAACACTGTCAGTGTTACCAGCTGTGACAAATATCCAGTGTTTGTTTGGCTTTCAAATCACAGACTTCAACTGCATCGAACAAACTGCAACTAATGTTTAGTCAAGATGCACAATCACCGACCCTAGCAAAATGCTTTATTTTTCATTAATTAATGGCAAATAGTAATAAGACCTTTTTGCATTTATTTGCAAAAATAAATGCTCTTTAAAAGATTAAGTTGATTCTGGTCATATAACAACACAAGTATTTGAGACGTTGCAGGTTTAAACCCTTTCTGGCCCCACACATGCTGGTCTGGACACAAAGCCAAGTTCTGGGTAAGTAGAGCAATGTGGGACAACGTGTGTGTGTTTGTGGGCGGATGAGAGACAGACAGAAGGCTAAAAGGCCAGCAGCAGAAAGACTGACATGCCCAGAAAAACACAAACAGAAGTAGGGGTTAAAATGTAAATGAAAATATGGTGAGTTGTGGTATTTGAGGGAGGGAGAGAGAGAGAGAGAGAGAGAGAGAGAGAGAGAGAGAGAGAGAGAGAAATTATGCATGTGTGACAGAATTTACCCCCCACCCATCCCCCCACACCTCTCCCATACAAGCTACCATCATCCCAGCAAGCCAGGTCAGTGACCGACTGACCTCCACGCCCCCCTCTGCAAGAGGGTCAAAGATCAACCAATCAGGAACATCAGTTGAAGTCAACAGCTTCTTTTTTCACCGTGAGTGCAGAGACTTTCAGCAGCCGTTAGAAATGTAATCCCAGAGGCAAAAATTTACATCTGAATTGAACCAAAATCTAGGGTAACACTGAATGATTCTGCTCTTTCCAACATTATGATCAGAAGTCTTCACTTTCTTTGATTATGTTTAGACTTCTCGGAACCCCTCGATGCGGGCGCCAAGATGAAAAGCTATAACGTGTTGTGAGTTGTTTCACTCTGCAGGAAGTATGATAAATAAGTTACGGACTACAAGAAGCAAAAAAAAAAGCAATCAAACATTCCGGTGTACTTCATCTAAATATCTGCTAATATTGGTTAACATGAGATTAAACTTTCTTAAAAGTTTATGTATGTGTTAATCGTCTCTGATTTTAGTGTGTTGCAACAACCCCAGCACCCCTACTTCACAAGTCCTTGGATATAGGATTCATTTATCAGGTCTGAACAGAAGAAGAAGAGTTTTACTCTGTTTTAAAGGTACATAATATTTGTTTAGGAGTATTTTCCTGCTCAGTTACGCCTGAGCTGGTTCATTTCTCCCACAGCTTTCATTATGAGATTAATCATGACTTTCAAGTTCCTCAAACCATTGTAGTTGTCATCCTGAAGCTTGTGTAATAAACTCAGTTCCTGATAAAACTTTCATATGTCAGACATGAATGTGCGGCTGAAGCTCCACAGGAGGCTGACAGACAGTTTTAGCCTGTGGGGGTGTGAATCACAGCAGCAGGGAGTGCATATGGAAGACAGAACTTTCCCCACCTGTGTTATGACTGTTGTCCTCAGTCTGACAGCTTTGGTCCCTGGTCCCGGTGCTGTTACCGCTGTGGGGCTCGGGCATCAGAGGAGGAATGGGCTTCCACAGCGGTTTTGCCTGGAGCTGGGTAGGAGAGTCGTCCTTTTCCTGGATGTCCATCGTGGTTTCCGTCTCGTCCAAGTTCTCCGACGGAGCCTCAGCCAAAGCAGAGGTCTCCAGTTGAGTTTCATCATGGGCTTGTTCCTCTTCTTTGGGCTGCTCCTGAGATGGTTGCTGGGCGTCTATGTTGAGCTGGTCTTCCTCCATCTCCGCCTCACCACCACTCTGCACGGAACAAAACCAGACACATATTCAATTCCTGTATTATTAATTATGTTTTTTTTAGCTGTAAATGACAAATGTTTTTCCTTTGTATTTTCAAATATTAAGTTATTAATTCCAAAACTATTAATTTGGTTTCAAACATAAGCAAACATCAGCATCATTATTTTAAAATCATGAGTTATAAACATATGAACAACGGTGCAGGCTGTGTGTTTCTTTAAGTCAGATGTTCTGAGTGTTCCAGGTCAGATCTGTGAGTGGTTGGGAAAGCAGCAGACAGATTACTTTCCTTAAACTACCGCTGGATGATGCAGAAATCAAAACATTAACATTCGAGAGAGATAGACTTCCAGTATATCATTTAGAAGACTTTTATCTTCCATCTTGTTTTGAGATATCGCTAGCGTCAATTTTGCATTTCAAATCTTAATTATCCAGATCATCGCTGTGTTTCTTTATCAGAAAGGAAAGTGTGACCTACTGTATTGAGCATGAGAGACACAAAAACATAAAACACACACTAACACACACACACACACCATTTCTTAAAGCTGAAACCTGATCATACATAAATAAACTGGACTCAATCAAACTACCAATGACGTCCTCTCACAAAAAATGTTTCACTGCTTACTGAAAATTTGCATATTGCAGGGCAGCAGAGGGAGGGGTCACAGCAGGTGACAGAGGGAATGAGAGTGTGTGTGTGTGTGTGTGTGTGTGTGTGTCTGTTCGTGCTTGTGTGTGTATATGTATGTGTGTATTTCTGTCATGTCTCCTGAGCATCCAGAGATTTTGCAGGCGGGACATTAACCTTGTCGCACAAACCAACCCTTCAGCAGATAAGTGACTCCTCACTGACCCAATGGATGCACATGCATCCATCTGTGCTAGTGTTTTGTGTGCATGCACACACACGTGTGTGTGTGTGTGTGTGTGTGTGTGTGTGTGTGTGTGTGTGTGTGTGTGTGTGTGTGTGTGTGTGTGTGTGTGTGTGGGGCTGCGTCTCCTGACCAGACCTCCCTTTTCTCTAAATCCCCAATCTTTCTCGTTGTCCCACCCACCAATTTATCCTCATTTTCTCTGTGTCTGTCTCTCCTGCTCCTCGTGTCCCTGTCGCCCTTGAAGAGGGATAAATGACTCCAGCGTTCAGGCACATTACAGCACATCACCACAGAACAAGTGGGCCACTTGGACACTTGTGTGACTCTTACACACACATGCACACAAACACATCGTGCATCAAATGATTACAAAATAGCTTAACTGCATGTAACACATGCTCAGTGAAGCCATCTGTGCAGTACAACATGTTTAAATGATTTAAGCCCAAACAGTCTCATGTCAACCAGATCTGATCTACAGGAGATTTTGAAGACATAAACAAAATATCATAAAAAGTTAAATGTACCTTATTGATATGATGTTTGTTTTTTTTGCTCAAAAGTAACTTAAATGTAATAGCAATGATTTCTGTTTATTCCCAAACACAATAACTAGCTAATAGATACATTAAAGGGAATGATCCGGATTATTAAGTCTGATTATATAAAACCTTTATTGTTCTCATTCATAAGAAAGAAGTATCTATTTAGCAAAGTTTTTCTGATTTGATTCTTCTTCTGTGTACTGTACTCATCAGCTGACTGTCAAAGTAAAAATCAGTCAGTGTAAAATGTACTTTTGATTGGTGCTAATTGTTAGATTAACCGGTTGCACAAGTGGTGGTCACTAAGAACTTTAACTTAAAACGATAAAGACTGCAGGATAACTAGATAGATACTTTATTAATCATCTGCAGGAAAAGAAATGTTACAGCAGCTGCAATCACAGTCAAGACATAAACACTGGATGATAACATCCAGGCAGTATTATTGATTCCAGTACCTGTCTGCGTTGACAGAGAGAACTCTTCCTCCCAGCTGACTTCTGGGCCTTCACCATGTTGCCAAGACTGGCCTCCTGCACGTTCACTACCAGCACACCTGTAACCTGCAACAACACTCCACATGAGCTACAGGAAAAACTGAGGATACAAGTACAAAGGCTCCTCATGTCTCATAATTATTTATACAAATGTTTTTCTTCAGTATGGATTTAAACCTGTTAGTAAGAATGCCTGCAACAGCAAAGCTTTTGTTAAGAACTCTAAACAACATCTAGCTTCACTTCACTGTACACAACCTACCTGTAGTATCACTGAAAAGTGTTAATGAAACAAGTATAATTCAAGTTTAAATGAAGTGCAAATCAAGCTCCACCTTCTTAAGTTTCAAGAGCAATGGAAACAACATGTGTTTATAAAGTTCACACTGATTCAGGTTGAATTATGTTGTTGGAGTTGTGCAGAGAAGCTGAACTTTAAAGATTAGAAAGTTTAGCAAATTTAATTCTGCCACAAACATCTCTGAACGAGGAGATGTTGGATGAAACTCTTCACTTTTCCACTCTATTATATTCTGCCATCAGCAGATTCACCAATTAGATCACATTAAAGTCACAAGAACAAGCAACCAATTAAAAAAAAAAAAAAAACATAAACCACCTCTGTATATTTGACTTCTGTTTCCAAACAGTACATCTCCAACACATTTCTGTTTGGATACTTCTTGTGAAAGCATTTGTATTGCATTAGAAGTCACACAAGCAACATAACAGCTTCGTGGGTTACCTGGCTGCAGTGTTTGGAAACCACCAGGCCACAAACATGATCTAAATATAAACAGAATTAAATAATTTAAGGTCACAGTAATGATTTCCCACAATGCTAATTTGGCTGCTCCTCATATTACTGTGAGGGAAATTAACCCTGTGTTACCTTCACCATTACTCTGCATGAGGCATAATATCCTTACTGAGTGCATTAAAAATGAGAACTCGGGCCTTTCTAACATAGCACACATACCGATGCCTTACCCAGAGGGCCTTGCAATGGTGGGGACACTGTGACTTTAAATCAGTTTCTGCATGAAAATGCATTTAATAACAGATCATTTTATGTACAGAAAGTACTACTGACACATTCACACCTACAATTGAAATCCAACCTCTAAGTTTGGGTTTCAATTGTGGCTACATGTTTATCCACCTTACATCTTCTCTGGCTCTGGTTTCTGCCATACAAGAGATTGTGTCAAGATCAATATTTTGCACCAGTTTCTATCATGTTGCATGTTGCATCCCCTACTGGGAGATAAATTAAGACCCCTGGAATACATTCACAGTCTTATTATCTAGTGGGTCCATCTAAATCGTTTTCACAACCTCAATTAAGAAATTTGAGCTTTAATTCCTGTATCACAGCATCTTTTGGGAAATAACACTTATTGCTGCCCTCTAGTGGCAGTCTTAATTAAAACTGCTTGCTCCAACTCAGCCACATGCACCTGACTCCACAAGGATGCTCAATTCAAGTGGAACAATGTGACAACGTATGCTTCACTCTAGCAATGTAAACAGCCTCACTGATTATTAATTAGATAAATTGATTAATTTGAAAAGGTTCAGGATCTGTTTCCGCCAAAGAAGGCGAACAATCTGATAACTCCAGATTTTGATAAATTAACATTTGGCTCTTCAGTTCTCTGTCAGTTGATTAGCTTTGAATGTCCCAGGAGCAAAATGGTGTATTAATAAGATTTGCTGCAGTTGATAAGTGCTTAAAGTTTGTACATGATAAAGCAAAGCGTCCCAGACAACAAGCAAACAGCATGATAAGTACATTCAACTTAGCAGAATAAGAGGGAGGCATACACTTGTTCTTCATGTCATTTTAAGGTAAACTATCAAAAAGTAGTACAGGAATGGACTTAAAGCTAGAAATGTTGATTGTGTAGTTAAAGTCCGGGAAAAGTTAGATCAGGAATACTTATGAAACGTGACAGAAAAGACACGTTTTTTTAAAAGCTCACTGTTTAAAGAAGCTTGAACCTACACATACAGATGCTTCCAATATGCAGCCTGAGTTACACGCACAAGCCAGTAGATTTGTAGTTCAACCAAAAGTCCAGCAGAGGGAGACAGAGCGTGTAAAGTATTTTAGTCTGGTGATGTCTTCAAAAGACTCGACACAGAGCTCCAACTAACACATGAGAACGGCCACAGAGGGGGATACGAAATGCTTTCTAACACAAAGTATGTGATCTGCCTGTAATATTTCACAGATTGAGTCTAAGAATCAAAATGATCTGCACACTGTATTAAATGCTCCCAGCAACTTCATTGCAAAAGCATCTCTGATCTTCTTTTTTTTTTGATCAGTCCCGATATCTGATACATAAATGACTTCAATAAAAGGACCGGATTCGGATTTTAGATTAGGACTTTGCCTCCGTATGTGGGGTGCACCCACTTACCCTAAGGCCACCGACGCCCCCATCTGCTTCCTCTTTAAAAATGGCTTGTGAATGTTTTCAGTTTGTTGTCACACTGAAGTTGCTTTTCTGTACTTTTTGCAGCTATTGTTTGAGGTCAATTCTAAAAATATAGGAATGTGTAAGCAAGAGTGTGACTGACAGTGTGTTTAATGTATGTTGATGTGTATGGTGAGGAGCGATAGGGGGCGCTTGGAAAAATGTTCATCTGCCAAAGGGGGGGCCAACAGAAAAAAGTTAGCGATCCACTGCATTAAGTAGATGTGTGTGTGTCTGTGCACTGTCTGTGTGAGTCAGTCAGAACAAACTCATTTGTTTAGGAACTATATCTACAGTTATGGACTGAATACAGCGCTCTGTAACAGTTTATTCATCTCAGTTAAAAGATACAACCACCAAGTGACACCTGCTTGATAAAAACCGACACGAGGAAATGAGAAAAGTCAAAGCAACATTTGAAACAAAATGACTGTAGACAGTGAAATAACAAAGCTTTACGTCCCTTATCAAAATGATATTTTTAAAGAGATTGTATTCCTATTTTGTACAGCGGATCTACACGGTGCATGCATGCATTACATAAACGCTGTCATCTTTTCACTGAGGCTGCACAGGGAGTTCATACATTGAAACTAGGCATTAGCTATAATGGGAAATTAAAACTGTCTTCCATACCAACCACTCACGTCAGGAAACAACCTCATTAAAAAAGAAAATCTTATTCCATGATTTAAAGAAAATTAAGTTATTTCATACTGAGGGCTGATAAATCATATCAAACCCACCTCTCCTCTAAAACACTACACTATTGACTGTTAGGCCCCGTAGCCCCTGATGACCTGTTGAGGTTGGTTCAGAGCATTTCACCTGATGCATGCTGGGATAAACTCTGGCAACCTGTCAGAAATCAGCATGAAATATATGAATACATGTAGATCACAAAATTGGGACAACAGGAGACCGTGAGGACGAAAAAGTGTAAGACGGAAACTTCTGTGGAAGTATCATCATAATATGAAGCACATAAGTGAATAAGCTTGATGGAAAAAAAATGTGTATTCTAAATCCTTCAACTCAGACTGTTTCAGGTGAGGCTTACACTAACAAGTCAGGTGAGGTGTACACTAAGAAATCCTCTAAGGCCCCTTTCATAAGAAGCTCTTTACCTCTCAGATTTGATCTTAATTATACTTTAATTGCTATACTTAATTATATTTTATAGAGTAAATAAAACTCCCCCCCCTGTAAAAAAATACTAAACTCAGTCATACTGGAAGGGACACTTTGTTGTTTAGAATATTTTGTATGTTGTGTAACTAGAAAGTTCTTTCTCGTAGAGCTGCCAACCTCATGTCATCAGTGCATGGCTATACAGGGATGGATATAAAGAGGTACTTGTTCGACCACATGAGGTTATGCCAAAAAAAAAAAAAAAGGTTTTAACAAAAAGTGATCCATGACTAATACGAGGGTCAGTAATGTGAAAATCACAAGGAAACTTGAGTTAATTTTCACAGAAACGCGGGAATTCCTAAATGTCTCTCAGAAGAACAATAAGAAAAATATTAGAAAATATTAGAAAATTGAATATTTCTAAATGTCTTTGAGTGCTACAGAGTTTGTTAACCATATTCACATAGACTGGGGGTCCACGCAGATACCAGAAGCGGTCTGGCAGTCACAGGATATATAAAAAAGTTTTATAGTAGGCTGTGCTCTAAGATGGTTTAAAATTGTTACACCTCAACATTTGTTCTCTTCATTCATTTACAATATGATTTTATCTGGTAATCAACAGCTATGTTTTGTCTTGGGATCTGTGTCTTATTTCAATCTGCTGTGGCACCGGGAAGGTTGGAATTCCCAAGCCAAGACCAACAGCAGCCTAATTACTCTGTCGAGAAGTGTTTCATAAAAAGCTGACAGGCAGCCGGTGCAGCCAGAGGATTACAAAGCCCAGAATGGACAGCTGTCTGAGAACATAAACACTTATTCAACTCACTTTTTAAAAGGCTGTGTGTACTACAAGGTTGAAAATAAAACACTTCCAACCACACAAGCGCATGTGCCAATGATACACTCACATGAGCACGAGGGACTCTTCCGTTTCCCTGGCAACAGACAGACGTGGTTGTGAGGTAGTGCTGTCCTGTTCTGACTCAGGTAATGAGAGCGAAGGTGTTCAAACTGATTGTTGACGTCTGTGGCTAGGCCTCCTAATCTCCTCTCCGCTCACTGCTTACTACTGGACACTTAAAGTGTTGATGGTGACATATTAAAGTTTTAAATTCAACTTTTCTATATAAACTCAGTCCTAAAATATGGGACAGTTCAACGACATTCACATAATTAAAGCTTCAAATTTGAACTTAGTGTTGTTTGGTGCTAAGTGGTGCACACTAATGTTACAAACATCCTTACAACAGCTGAAGTATAAGTGATATTGTTTACCGGCTCTACACAAGCCTAAAGTACAATATCAAAAGATCAATATGAGAACAAAACAAATCTGAAAAGGGTAATATCTCCCTTTCTCCTCAGCGTAGAACTGTTTAGGATAGGAGTAACACTGCAAGAATGGCTTATACTGCAGAAAAGGATGAATAACATAACTCTCTG